TTGCAAAAATCGCAAAAATTCCTGAAAATAGCAAAAATTGTAAAAATTCCTGAAAATTGCAAAAATCGCAAAAATGCCTGAAAGTTGCTGAAATAACAAAAATTGCAAAAATTCCTGAAAGCTGAAATAACAAAAATTGCAAAAATTCCTGAAAATTGCAAAAATTCCTGAAAATTGAAAAAATCGCAAAAATTCCTGAAAATTGAAAAAAATCGCAAAAATTCCTGAAAATTGCAAAAATTGCAAAAATTCCTGAAAATTGCAAAAATCGCAAAAATTCCTGAAAATAGCAAAAATTGCAAAAATTCCTGAAAATTGCAAAATTCGCAGATTCCTGAAAATTGAAAAAATTGCAAAAATTCCTGAAAATTGCAAAAATTGCAAAAATTACTGAAAAATGCAAAAATAGCAAAAATTCCTGAAAATTGCAAAAATTCCTGAAAATTGCGAAAATTCCTAAGAATTGCAAAAATTCCTGAAGATTGCGGAAATCTATGAAAATTGCAACAATGCTTGAAAATTGCAAAAATTGCAAAAATTACTGAAAAATGCAAAAATAGCAAAAATTCATGAAAATTGCAAAAATTCCTGAAAATTGCAAAAATCGCAAAAATTGCAAAAATTCCTGAAAATTGCAAAATTCGCAAAAATTCCTGAAAATAGCAAAAATTGCAAAAATTCCTGAAAATAGCAAAAATTGCAAAAATTCTTGAAAATGGCAAAAATTGCAAAAATAGCAAAAATTCCTGAAAATTGCAAAAATAGCAAAAATTCCTGAAAATTGCAAAAATCGCAAAAATTCCTGAAAATGGCAAAAATTGCAAAAATTCCTGAAAATTGCAAAAATCGCAAAAATGCCTGAAAGTTGCTGAAATAACAAAAATTGCAAAAATTCCTGAAAGCTGAAATAACAAAAATTGCAAAAATTCTTGAAAATTGCAAAAATTCCTGAAAATTGAAAAAATCGCAAAAATTCCTGAAAATTGCAAAAATCGCAAAAATTCCTGAAAATAGCAAAAATTGCAAAAATTCCTGAAAATTGCAAAAATTCCTGAAAATTGAAAAAATTGCAAAAATTCCTGAAAATTGCAAAAATCGCAAAAATGCCTGAAAATTGCTGAAATAACAAAAATTGCAAAAATTCCTGAAAATTGCAAAAATCGCAAAAATGCCTGAAAGTTGTTGGAATAACAAAAATTCCTAAGAATTGGAAAAATCGCAAGAATTCCTGAAAATTGAAAAAAATCGCAAAAATTCCTGAAAATTGCAAAAATTGCAAAAATTCCTGAAAATTGCAAAAATCGCAAAAATGCCTGAAAATTGCTGAAATAACAAAAATTGCAAAAATTCCTGAAAATTGCAAAAATTCCTGAAAATTGAAAAAATCGCAAAAATTCCTGAAAATTGCAAAAATCGCAAAAATGCCTGAAAATTGCTGAAATAACAAAAATTGCAAAAATTCCTGAAAATTGCAAAAATTGCAAAAATTCCTGAAAATTGCAAAAATCGCAAAAATGCCTGAAAATTGCTGAAATAACAAAAATTGCAAAAATTCCTGAAAATTGCAAAAATCGCAAAAATGCCTGAAAGTTGTTGGAATAACAAAAATTGCAAAAATTCCTAAGAATTGAAAAAATCGCAAAAATTCCTGAAAATTGAAAAAAATCGCAAAAATTCCTGAAAATTGCAAAAATTGCAAAAATTCCTGAAAATTGCAAAAATCGCAAAAATGCCTGAAAATTGCAAAAATTGCAAAAATGCCTGAAAATTGCTGAAATAACAAAAATTGCAAAAATTCCTGAAAATTGAAAAAATCGCAAAAATTCCTGAAAATTGCAAAAATTGCAAAAATTCCTGAAAATTGCAAAAATCGCAAAAATGCCTGAAAATTGCTGAAATAACAAAAATTGCAAAAATTCCTGAAAATTGCAAAAATTCCTGAAAATTGAAAAAATTGAAAAAATTCCTGAAAATAGCAAAAATTCCTGAAAATTGCAAAAATTGCAAAAATTCCTGAAAATTGCAAAAATTGCAAAAATTCCTGAAAATTGCAAGAATTCCTGAAAATTGCAAAGATTGCGAAAATTCCTGAAAATTGCAAAAATCGCAAAAATGCCTGAAAATTGCTGAAATAACAAAAATTGCAAAAATTCCTACAAATTGCAAAAATCGCAAAAATTCCTGAAAATTGCAAAAATCGCAAAAATGCCTGAAAATTGCTGAAATAACAAAAATTGCAAAAATTCCTGGAAATAGCAAAAATTGCAAAAATTCCTAAAAATTGCAAAAATCGCAAAAATTCCTGAAAATAGCAAAAATTGCAAAAATTCCTGAAAATTGCAAAAATCGCAAAAATGCCTGAAAATTGCTGCAATAACAAAAATTGCAAAAATTCCTGAAAATTGCAAAAATCGCAAAAATGACTGAAAATTGCAATTTTTCCAATTTCCAGGAATTTTTGCAATTATTGCTATTTCTGCAATTTCCAGGAATTTTTGCAATTTTTGCAATTTTCCGGAATTTTTGCAATTTTTGCAATTTTCCGGAATTTTTGCAATTTCTGCAATTTTCAGGCATTTTTGCGATTTTTGCATTTTTCAGGAAGGACCACGCACACATTACATGGGAAAATGTCTTTCGGTGAAAATGGCTGGATTTTTGTTATGTTGTAGCTGTAGTCATTCTAAGTGAAAAACTATATTGGCCCAACTCGATCGTATGACCAGATTCGGCGCTAGAGGGTGAAACATCATGAATTTTGTGTATTTTTGAGTCTTCGAAGCTTAATGAAGAATATGAAAGTCTCGTGATATTTGGTAATCTCCGTTGAAATTTTAGAACAAACTGAACTTCATCTAAAATGCTGATTATTCTCTTTCCACTGACACACAATGTGCCGTGTATTCGATTCTTTTGAAAAATAAAAGCTGCAGATCTGCGGCTTGGTCAGAATCAACTATGTATTTCGAATTAGTATTTTCGTCTAGTTTGCATAATTTTTGTCATGATTTTACAAAAAATGCTATATCGAACGTACACTATGCTAGTTATATTAGTATAAATATACATCATATACACAATATATACGATCAATTATAACTCTTGGAGTTTTATATTCATCGCCTGGTTCATGTGAATCACGTTGCTACAGACATATAAAAAAATGAATACAAAGTATTACCCCCGAACGTCAATGAAACTAGAAGGACTCCCCATGGAATGAGAAATACCCGAAGAGTCGTAAAACTAAATGAAGTTCTGGCGAAAACAATTTTAATTTTGCTTTAGATCTCACTCTCCATTTCATTCGAAATACCCGAAATGCAATGTGACATAAAATGCTGACTGACAAAAAACGACCCACACCATAGCTCAATTATTATAATTATTTAGATTAACATAAGGATTATGGAATGGACGTTATAACGTTATAATATACCCTTTGATATTAACTTCGAAATTCACAAAATTCAGGAAATGATACCATCCATCAAAGATCAACGAGAGATTTACCCATAATGGCAAGCTTCATTAGAATAATATGGGAAATATCGGTGACCTTAGATATATCGAAAACATTCGACCGTGTTTGGCACCCCAAGGACTTTACCACAAACTACCATCATAGCATCATATGGATCACCACCTCAGCTATGCCCTCTTTTATTGAGTCTTTCAGGCAGATCGCTCCATGTGATGATGGACGAAGTATCGTCTGATATAGCCATCAATTCCTGCATCTCACAAGGATCAATTTAAGCACCACCATTCTTCCTACTCCATATTAATGATCTGTTGCGAGTAACCTTAGATTAGAGGTCTACAGGGTCCTGCATCTCAACTCTCGTCTTTTATAGATCAATTATCAGATGAGTCAGGATTTTGATATCTTGCAGACTTCAATTGTCTCATAAGGCGCATACCAGGAAAATAATTTCGATTATACAGGGTGTCCCAAAAAAGTGTGACGTCATAATGATATATATTTTTAAATGGCATTGCCATATATTTTGTTGCACATTTGAGTGCTACCAGTGGTTCAGTGATATTCACGTAAAAAAAATATAACAAAAAAATTCAATTTTGCACCACTGGTCAAAAACATTAATAACAAAAAAGAGAGTGCCTGGTATGGTGATCATACATCATTACAAATTCCTCGACAAATTCTCATTGTATCAAGGTTTAATTGCCGAAAACTCGTTAAACAACATCCTAGTTGAATTCAACGTCACAAAAACTCAAGCCTGTATTTTCTCTAGAAAGGTGGAACTCAGTATGCCTGATGATATATCAATGTCTGGTATTTCCATAAGAATCACTCTTTTATAGAAAAATCATGTCAGATCCATCCTGAAGGCTGCTTCCAAAATTCGAATTTGTATTTCGTGCGAAAAAATATTTTACACCCCCACAGCGTCTCATGATCTACAAAGCACAGACATACGGCCCGTTTAAGAATACTGTTTCCACATATGGTGTTCAGCAACCAAACATATATGCTGATGCTCTTAAATTCCATCTGTCAGAGACGAGCCAATCGCATAGTGGGTGATGCCACACTCACTAACTCTTTGACATTATTCAAATCGTGGAATGGTCGGCGACCTTTCACTTCTCTATAGATACTTCCACGGGACATGTTCTTCAGGAATCTCTGATATCATTCCATCACCAGAAATACCAGTCAGACTTACTTTACGAGCCCAAAAATTAAAGAAAAATCCAACACCTATCTTCTCTCCCTATTCGCCCTAGGAACATATAATAAGAGGTTTCTCTCGTGCGATCCAAGAAAAAAAAGCATATCTCAGGAACATAAAAGGGATTCCCCCTCGTGCGATCCACAAGAAATGAAAGAAGCAGATCTCAGTGGATGATGTCTGTATGATATTTTGTATTAGAGCGAGTTGTGAACATTATTTTTTTCTCCGAGGCACTGTCAATGAAGAACATAACCGCTTAGAAATGTCATAAAGCTTACGATAAAATTATTTCAGAGAGTGCCCCGGCTTTGGCAAGCGCAAGGCAGTTTCTTTCCGGGCATCCGGGATACATTCCGGTTTATATCAGAGCCGGCGACACGCCCCTCGAAGATATCAACCCCGATCTAGCGGACGCTTTCAACAGTTACGCCCGGAGGTACGGGCGACTTACGTACGGCCGCTCTATAGGTGACAAATCCGGAGAATCAGACGGCCACGATGAGTTTCCGGATTTCGCGGAGGTCGACGCGGTGAATCTGGAAGAAGATGCGACACCGGAAGGCGATAACAATAACATAGGCGCGCCCCAGAATCCAGGCGGGTCCCACATCCAGAAAATCCCTAGGGATCTGAATTTGTGATATGAATAACGTTAGAAATATTTATTTTCTTGTAAATATAAGGATACTAATATGATGAGTTTCGTACTTTCCTCTGATTATTTCTCCAAAGGTTGTTACATACCTTGTACTTGTTCTCAATTCGGAAATATTGTTTTAGTACAGTCAGTAGATAAGATTACTTATTACCACCTATATATCCAAACTGAAATTTATCTTTTATCTTATCATATAACCCTAACGAAAGGTGTAGCTTATTGAGTGGAGTGCTTCGACGTGAAAGGTACGTATAACTTTCGTGATCTAATTTTCATTATTACTAATATTATTAGTAGTCTATGTAAGTGGTCTTCAAATTGACAATCAATATTCCCATTCACATACAATTAACCATAGGAAATCTTCGTGAGCGAGGGATAAATAGGTACTTCGTTGTGTAATGATCTAGGATAACAATGATAAATGTGGGATAGACCATCATTATCAATGGGTTAGGCTCAAGTTATACAAGTATTTCACATGACTCATGTAATATTCAATCTAACAAAGTTGAACTATACTTTTTCATTCGCATCAAAAAAGTAATTCAAAAATGCTACAGAGTTTTGCATAATTATGTCGATTCCATAAATTTTCCAAATTTCATCTTCTCGACGAGATCAAACCAGCTATTGGTTAAATATACATATATTGTGCATACACCAAACAAAAATCGCTAGCTATAATGTGAAAATGAAGCAATAACTAGATATTTTGAAAATGAATGAAAAGTTTCAAGAGATATTTCACAGAACGCACAATATGAATGAGTCATTATGATCCGTAGATCTTTTGTTTAATCTATGGAATATTTATATATTCTTATCTAGAGATACTATGTTCCAGTGAATTCATGTGATGTGATGAAATTCTACCTGCCAATATTTATTCATTCAATCTTAATCTAATTCGAGTAAACAGAAGAATGCTTAAACGTGAACTATTATATTATTATAAGACCACAATATCATTTGGTATTTGGTATCAATTCAGTTATTCCTAATTTCTCTAAAATCGTGCGAGTTTGAACATGTAACAAAAGGACAATATTTCTTGAAAATGCATGTAGTTTAAGAAAATTGATCTGTCCCTAGGAGAATTGAAAGGAGACAATTTCCAGTAAATCAACAATACTCTATAGGACATTAATATTACTAGGCTCATTTTTTTCCCAATATCTGGTTTAAAAAATGAGAACCCGCCAATTTTATCCGCTATCTTCAACATTTCAGTAGGTATACGGTATAATTATGGAAAAACTGCAGATCATAGTGTTAGCTTCGGCTGTGGCATATTTATCTACAGTCTATGGCCAGTTGAATGGAGTTAGAGAGAACCTGCGACCATGCTACAACATTTCGGCTATGCCCGGAATCCTCATCGCAGACAACAGACCACCGGAAAGCCTGAACGTTTTTCTAGAGATACTAAGGCGATTAGAAGACGCCAATCCAACCAAATCGGCGGCTGAACTTTCGGTACTACTTATTCAGAGGTGAGAAAAATATTGCCAGTAGGGATGAGTTGGTGATTTTTTCACACCAATCGCATCATTTTTTTTAGGCTTCGACAAGATGGAATCATCTTCACTGGAGGAAACACTGACCCACTATATGCCATAGCATTTAGTTCAATTGGATATGAAGCAATCAAAGGAACTCTTATTGGCCAAAGATTCTTGCAAAACCTCACCACAGAACTTTTTTATGGAGATCTTGATCCTATGGAAATCGTAAGTACCTACTAATACCAGATCCCGAATATACAGAATATGAGAATAAATATATGATCAATCAAATTCATATTCGATTTGGGGAAATCTAGTATTCCTTCTTCAATTCACAGGAATTTTAGGATACTATAGGTGTGCCTAGGTAGGGTATAACTTCTCCTCCTCCATTATGAGTACTCCTCCTCTACTATATGTTTACTCCTCCTCTTTTACGTGTGGATATAAGTTTTCCCCTCTTCTCGAAACCTGCACAAATTTTCTTCTTAGCAAACTCTAGGTTGTGATCGTATAGACAACGAGGAGTTTCTCTCAGCTCGTCTGAAACCTTCAAGATTCCTCTAAATGTCTAATATCTGTTCCAACTTCTTCTCCTATAATATTTTAGGCCCACATTTAGTATATTCCCATTATTCTCACATCTAATAGATTCTCATCAGATCCTCATTCAATATATTCTTATCATGCCTACATTCAATAGATTCCCAACATGCCCACATTTGAAATAGGTACCTCTCTTACAAGGTGTCACTTGACAATTCAAAAATTTTGAAGGGATTGACAGGTGGTTGAATATTTTTATGTCAAACAATAAATTTTCAAATAATCAACCTCATATTCCAAGGATTTCTCCAAATATATTCCTATTATGGATATACGGATTTTATTCCATTATCGATCAGATTTAAACAAAAATTACGTACAACAGATGATATTGTCCAATCCTTTATCTCAAATGAATAATGTATAGTATTCTTCCCGGACTTGAAAAAAAGTTACGACACTTCAGGTTTGCTGTGATATGTGGAGATATTATTTCTTTCTGCAAGTGTCAGTTGATTTTCGAAGTAAACATCATCAAAACATACGAAAAACAACCAAAAACGTGGTGGAGATACGTAGATGACATTTTCATAATTTGGCCACATAACCTTATTGAACCAAATATTTTTCTATATCATGTGAACAATGCCGAACCCACCATGGAGTTAACTTTGGAAATTGAATTTGACAATCAGTTGCCATGTCCTCAGATACCTCAATTTTCAATCAAATCATCAGAAAACTTTAAAAAAGGAATAATCAAATCACTTCATGATCGAGCCAAATCGATATCATCTAACCAACAAACTTTCAATAACGAAATCCTATTAAAAATGTTCTTCAGCTTAACTCCTATCTGAAGAATTTCATTGATAAAACGATACACCAAATTGAAAACAAACAGAATACACCACAACAAAAACAACCATCAATAACGATAAATATAATACCGTACATTCCCGGCACATCTGAAAATAAAGAGCAATCATCAAAAAATTGTATTTATAGTATACCTTGTGTTTGAATGAAGTATTATACAGATGAAACAAAGTGACATCTCTCAGTAAGAGAGCTAACCCAACGTAGAGAGATTACCCAACGTAGGAAGCTAATCCAACGTAGAGAGCTGACCCAACGTAGAGAGCTAGCCCAACGTAGAGAGCTCACCCAACGTAGAGAGCTAACCCAACGTAGGAAGCTAATCCAACGTAGAGAGCTAGCCCAACGTACAGAGCTCACCCAACGTAGAGAGCTAACCCAACGTAGGAAGCTAACCAAACGTAGAAATCAAACCAAACGTATAGAGCTAACCCAAAGTAATCTGTTTTTTCATCGGAAACGATATTATTGGCTTATTTTTAGGAACTAGCACAACAAAAGCCATCAACAGTGTATATTTATCCGTGGAAAAAAAGTAAATCATGAAAAGTGACATTTCATAACCTGTCAACAGAGATGAAATGCCAAACTTTTTTCCCGTCACAGAAAAAATGAATTTATTATAATTTTGTGACTCCTGGACGCTTTTGTAGAGAATGGTTATGTTGAAAAACTATATTTAATTTTTTTTTCAGTGCACCTTTCACTATATGATATCTAGTAGCATAAATACCACAATGAGAGGGGATGAAAAAACAACATGCATGAGAGCGGCCCGATACACATCCAGAATACGAAGAAGTGATGACAACATTGAATTAGCAGACTTCGCCCCCCGTTCGTGGATGGGATCCATTATCAATGATACTAGTCAGTGCCCACTGGAAATGGGGGTGTTCCACACAAATTACGGAACTATCAAGGGTGGCCAGGTTCTGAATGGAATTGCAACTGGAGCTTACCAACAAGACGTGAATGGTTGCGATAATAGATATGCTGCAACTATTTCAGGTGAGTTGAAAATCTCGAGCCCAGGTATATTAACGAAACTGCTTCTGGCTGATACTTTCGATTATTTTCACTATGTTATTTCCAGGTGAATTGGCCGAGGCGGCCTTAGTTCAGACCAAAAACATAGTAAAAGTCGGTGTTTCCGGTGGTTGGAACAGTACCATAAGCCCAAAGTATTATTTTCTGCAGCAAAACAACAATCTGGATGTCACTAATGCAGAAATAAGAGGTTCCTTAGATGGTTTATACATGTCCCTGAAAATGAAGGACTGGAAATCCTCAGATATAAAAATATCGCAAATACTAGACATGTATTACTCGCCCTATCAGAGGGGAGTATTCGATTCTTCTTTCAGAGCATGCAACAGAAATATCCTCTACAGTGAAATGGTAGCAACAGAAAAAATTCGGGAACAAACAATTGCTTTTATGAGTCCTCTTGATGATGCTGGGACATTTCCAAACACAATCAGTCTTAGTTCTCACTCGCAATTCGGAAATGGCGCTGTAGACAGCTTCATCAGTGCCATGCGTAAGTTTAAATCTCTTTGTTATTTTCGAGATTTTTAAAAAGTATGAACTTTTTCAGCGAGCCTAAAAGATTTGGCTTGTGCTCCGACAGATCAAGTCATTGAAAGAGTGTCGAGCGATTTGCACATCTTCTTAGATCCCAGTTGGAGTTACACCACTGTACAACCATTGCTTTCGTAAGTGGCCCTTGTGGGAGTACTTCTTGAACCTACCATGACTGATAATCTTATTGTAGCTACATCTTGGATAATATCGACGTGAACAAATTTGGATCCAGATACACACTTTACAGTGGATCCGACGTAGTGAATGTCACAAGCTACGGCACTAGATATCTATTAGAATTTTACAAAAAGTACAACTCATCCTCGCACCAAAATCGTATGTATCCCTTCATAATTATTGCCAACCCAATGATTTTCTTTATCTTTATTTTCAACAGTAAGGTCCGACTTCGACTATTCCAAAGTGTTCCAAACCATTGAATCCATAGCTAAATCAAAACTGAATAACAACACTTATGCCGGTGGTGAATCTACAGTAGCTCTTTTGCTACCACGAACAATGCCGAATGAAAGTCAAAAAACCTTCTTGAATCAGAGAAAAGAGATCTTCAGACAGTTCCTACCAGGTAAATTCCAACAAAAGTATATCACAAGAGTTACTAAAGTATATATTTTCATCATAGATTTAACAATCCTCGTTGTGGGATCTGGAACGCAGGGCGATTATAATTCTGTCTTGGCCAATCCCAGCAAAGATTTTATTCCGTTAAGCGAATCTACTAACGAGAATGACATCAAGACTTTGGGAGAGACGGTAGTCACGAGAATAAAAGCCAGTAAGTACACAATCTCTACCAATAATACTCGGTTCGGTGTCCCTGAAAGGTCATCACAAAAACCTAACACATATTCCTCAGGCCAAAGCAATGAGGGCTATGTGGTAGATTTTTCTGAAGACCATTAGAAAACATACTGCCTCCAGTTCCCAGGTCCATTGTGAACCCATCCTGCGGCTCAGAGCTGGTAGGTACCACAAATACGTTCACCCTGACTGACTACGTGGAGCCAAAAGGAGTGAACAAGTACAGAATATCCCCCAACTACTTCTACGCAGGACAGGGTACCAGGAACCTGAAAATAACTGAACTCAGCTACGGCAGCATCACAGTGTGCATTTCGAGCAATCAACCTGTCAACCAAACGAACGATTGTGAAACTGCAAAGTCATCCGTCTTGACTAGAGATTTGTCAACGTTTTGTAGGGGAAAATTATCGGATTGCACGCCGATATATATTTCTGTCACAGGAAATACTACGCTGAACAAATGTAAAGGGCCAGGTATGTATATCAATCAACTCAACATATCTGAGAAAGGAATAGACATAATCACGAGCACGTGAAAATCATCTCTATTCCATCAATTCATCATGCCTTCAGTGAGTCTCGCTTCGAACACCCTTATATCTTTGTTATCTTTGGAGATGAAACGATGAGAGATATAGGGATACGCTCTAACTGAAGTAATCAGTATACGTAAAAACTTCACAGACGATAAGATTTCCACAATTTTTTTTTAAACACACGACATGTTTCGCTAACACAGTAGCTTCGTCAGGTGATATACTGGTACAATGAACTAAACTAACGTTGGCTTGCTTAACTATTATATATCTTACTTTCCCAACCTGAAGGATTAGTTAGTTTTATGAAAAAGAAAACAAATTCAACATACACCAACCATATATTAGAAGAAAACCATAGTTTTGATGATAATTTCGAAATTCTGCACGTAGAAAATAAAGGACTGAAACTCAATCATTTCGAATCATTAGAAATCAACAAACTCAAAAATTTTGACATTTTACTTAATGATCAATTAGACCTTAATAGTTCACCACTGATGAATTTGTTTTCTTAGTAAGTAATAATAAGTATTTGATATTAACTCTTTCAAGTTAATCCGGTATACCGTAATTTAATGTAGATATTGTGCCTAAATTCCGAAAATGGAGGTTTATCGTACCTGTCCACAGGTAACTAATCCTTCAAGTTGGGAAAGTAAGATATATAAAAGTTAAGCAAGCCAACGTTAGTTTAGTTCATTGTACCAGTATATCACCTGACGAAGCTACTGTGTTAGCGTGTGTTTAAAAAAAAATTTGTGGAAATCTTATCGTTTCTGAAGTTTTTACAATTTTTCGATAAAATGTAAGTGACGAATGGGAAAAATTATTGGGGCCCAGAGTTAACTTCCAAATGAAAATACAAAGTAGGGGGGCTTTCCCTCGATATTTAAATCGTATCAATTTTTGAAAGCTGTAATCACAGCAGATTAAAAGTTGTTGAAGTTGGCTAAGGCCCTGTATTTTATTTTCACTTGACAATTATTATTCGAAAATTTCATTTTATTTTCTAGATGTGCTGTGCCGTTTCCCAGATAACATCAAGTACACTATATCATTGGAAAATGTCGGCTGTGCAAGTGGCACTATTCGTTTAGTAGCAAATATTATCTTAGTCTTTACTTTATATGTGGCTTTAAGATTTTGAAAATATAATTTATTTATCAATGTATCAATACTACCATTCTCGTGAAACTGGTTGAGATAAACCTGAATCGAAGTGGATAAACACTTGAAATAATGATTCTGTAGTGATATTATAAGTATCACCAACAATTTCTTCCTCATTTATTATGACATATTACCAATAAATTTTTATATGATTTTACATGCCTTTGAATGAAACTTGTTTCTTACCCGAAAGTAGCGTCAACTCTATGAATAGTTATACAACCAACTATAGTATCAATGAGGGAGATTATAATGATCTACAAAGCGCAGATACGGCCTGTTCTAGAATACTGTTCCCACATATGGGGTTCAGCACCAAAACATACGCTGATGCTCTTAGATTCCATACAGAGAAGAGCCATCCGCCTGGTGGGTGACGCCACACTCACTCACTCTTTGACATCATTGGAACACCGTAGAATGGTCGGCGACCTTTCACTTTTCTATCGTTACTTCCACGGGAAATGTTCTTCGGAAATCTCTGCTATCATCCCTTCACTAGCAATACCAGCCAGACGAACTAGACAAGCCCAGTCAGCACATCCTTTCGTTGTCAACCTCGAAAGATGTCGAACAGCACTTTATCAAAACTCCTTCATCTATAGAACGGCTAGGCTCTGGAATTCATTGCCTGAGGAAGTATTCCCAACAACATATAATCTCCAGAAGTTCAAAAAAATTCCAATACCTACCTCCTACCCTATCCCCATCCTCCCTAGGAACGCACGATGTTCTTTGAACATTATAGGGATTCCCTTTAGTGCGCTCCAAGCGATAAAAAAAATTTAATTGACGCCGCCAATGACCATAATATCTAGCGACAATAGGGGACACAAATTGAATGAAATTTGCATTTAAATCGAATAAGGAGATGAAATGCTTACATCGATATCCACACCTTTGGTGTGACACAATTTGTTTTGAGAGAGAAAACGAATCGGTACCTCTGCTAGCCGAGAGGATTCACGTCGATGCAAATCAACTTCATTGAAGAAAAGTATATGTTGCGGCTGTGATCTGCTAAGATTACATATCGATTTACGGTTCACTAGACGAAAATGAATAAAGAAAATAGGGGATTAGATTGTATCCCGGTGGAACGTGTCGCCTATGGTGTCGCGAAACGAGAAATCATAATGGGGAATTTGAGCTCGGACGAAGAAGGAAGATGAATACGGGGTAAAGTTAGCTTTCTCCAGGAGTTGGTCGAAAATGTGGTCCGTTTTTCGAGCTCCGCCATGGTGATCTCAACAGTTATAATAAGAGATACGAGGTCGGTTAAATTAGGACGAAGTTGCGCATTTTCTTGCTGAACATTTATTTGCAAGAAAATACATCAATGTAATCAGAAAAAAAAAACTTCAAAAATGTAAAAATCCGATATGGCGCCCATGAGAAAAAACAAAGTTGAGTGTTGTAACTAGGGCATCAAGAACGTCATGGAAAATACGATGACAGATTCAAATCTTGTAAAAAAGTGCCTTGAGAATGTCCTAGTCAGAAACGTCTAGGTCTTTTGATTTGCGCTTAAAAAAATGAGAACGAAATTTACAAATTTCCGTTTTCTTAGAATAATTTAAAAACTAAAAATGACACATAAAATTTTCTTTCAGATAAATGTTCAGCATAAAAATTCGCAACTTTGCCCTAATTCAACCGACCTCGTATCTCGTATAATAAGTGAGATCCCCATGGTGAAGCTCGAAAAACGGGCACCCTGTATATCACTTCTGGTTAAGCAGGTCGAATCCTGTGTCCATCACGAAATCAATACTGACGTTTACAATCGTTTTTTCAATGGAGTAGACTTAGGTGGAAAGCTTCCGGTGGGCCACCTTGTATGTACCATTCATTTTAGGCATCAGCATCTGTAGAGCCATCTTGCTTCGTCAAGATTCAATGGATACGTTACAGCAGTGAATTATCGAAAAAATGCACAAAAACGCAGGAAATTCGAATGAAGATAAACAACAGGTAAGGCGGGACACCTATAGCTAAGAAGCTAAACTTAACAGTCTCCGGTAAAGATCACTCACACCGACAGTTGCTTCTACTGGGAAAAAGATGGCGCTGACGGTACTTTTCTATAATTCCTTCATTCTGGGTACCACTCACTGACATTACTATCTAGCGCTATATGTCATATCCCAACAATACGAGATTCTGGAAACGTTTCTGCCAATGCGCATGTCAGTGGTACTACTGTGTGGCACCAACTAGTGGGAAATTCATATACAGGTTCGAAAAATTAAAATACAAGACATTGCTTGACCCTGCATTATAACACAGTTCTCTCAGTAACTTGATACGATGACAATTATTCACCAGAAATTCCTTATAAGGAATTATGCTACAAGTCATGCACAACTGTAGGTACTTCAAACAGAATAATTCAAGAGAACATTCAACTTGAAGAGAATATGATTACAAAGTTTGGATAGTTATTTCGCAATGGGAATTCTAGTCCCAAACTGAATTAGTAGGCTCTGAATCAACTTCATCTTGTTTAGACTTACTTCTACAGCTGTTCCAACTATACAATGTGAACAATTGTTTTATAGATATTTGAATAATGGATTCTCTATAAGTCGTCACATAAGTAACCAGCATTTAGATAAAACTTCAACAAAACAATGAAAGAGAATGTTTTTTTCGAAAATAAACGAAAATAAATTGGTTTGCTCCCAGAATTTTCAATTTCTTTTGTAGATCACTCGATCAGATAGATATGGAAAACCATATCGGATTGGAATCCATATTTCAATAAAAGAAATAGTATTTAAAATATAATTGGACAAGTCGCGATTTTTATTTTTGATAATATATTTCCTCACATGAAAATTATCAACCACTAGTCAATCTCCTGCCCTCCAGATCAACCCCTTCAAAAATTGTGAAATGTACAAGGGGTAAAGTTACCCTTTGTGAGAGAGGTATTTCGAATCTCTATACAATGGTCTATTTTTCTTTTGATATTAAAATTTATTACAATTTTTGTACAACTCAGTTGTAAAGTAAAATTACGCCTATGTACAGTGTGTCCAGTTTTCGATGCTTTAGCGTGATCTCAGTTATCTTTGGAGATAGAACCTTGAATTTTTCACGATCCTATGCCACTTTCTTGTGACACTCAAGATGGCCTAATCAGATTTTGCATAACTGTTTGCGTTTATGACATACAAGTCGATTTTGAGAAAATTTATACTTTTTGAACCCCGTCTATATCACGAAGTTTCTCAGCGAAAATGTCAAACTAAAATCTTATCCCATAGAGAATTTTACGCAGAACCCAGTAGCGCACTAAAATTTTTTTTGGGGTATGGTTTTGGAGATACGACAAAACACAAAACTTAGGTACCTGATAGTAACAAATAAATAGCAATAAAAAGTTCATCATTTAGAATAAGCCCCTGATTAAATATTTACTGAATCAATTGAATTTAGAAATTATTGAGTAACTTATTCATTGAATTGTTCAAATTGATGTCCATTTTCCCTCACACACTATTAAAAGATGTCTTTGTAATTTCTGTTGTACGAAGTTTTTCAAGATTGTTGTGCTTCTTACTGTATTAAGACGTTGGTCTTTGTAATCTATGTATTGAGAAAGTGTGTAAATCTTGTTTTAGGGAATATGGACATCAATTCAAACAATTCAATCAATAAGTTACTGAATAATACAGAAATTCAATTGTTTTAGTGAATATTTAATCAGGTACTCATTCTACATTATGAACTTTTTATTCATATATTCATTTGTTGCTATCAGGTACATGAGTTTTTTGTTTTTTTTTTTATTTACAAGTATGCGCATCCACCAAAGTGGTTATTAGCGCAGGACAAAATAATAGATACAGTATCATCAGATTACACTAATAATATTTTCTCAAATCTCATCAGCTATGTCGATGTTCGATAAAAAAATCGTCAGGTTCACTTCACTGAAATCGTTTCCGAGGATTTTACGAATGTCTGTGGATATGTTGAATGTGTCTCGAGCATTACCCTTTGTTTCATCGAGAAATTCGTTTAGCACTGGTCACAGATTGGAGCTTTCTGAAATTGGAGCAATAAATAAAAATATGTGGTGCACCATGAGACAATGAAAATTGGAAATTCTTCGAAAAATGAGCGTTCCCACCTTAGTAACCATTATTGAACGTCCGGCAACAGTGCAAAAGTCATCGATACTTCTGGTGCTTGTGGTTAAGCTATTTACCTCTGGTCAATGATTTACAAAGTGTCATTCAAACTTTGAAGCTCAATATTTTCCAAAATATTTTTTTTAGACAAAAATGTACTCTTTCATTTCGTTTTGTTTTTTCGCCTTCTATCATACATTTAATTCATTAATTCCCAATTTCAGAAACACCCTGTATACCTGTTATGAAAATATGGAATTAATTCCATCATAGGTTTTCACACTGTATACTGTATAGTATTGTTTTCATTATTTATTCGGAAAGGTTGTGCTTCTATACCAAGTTATATTTGTATTCCTTATCATAACCTGAATCGGAATATAATAAATATTAGGATATGTAGGTGTGATAAGATAACAAAGTTATCGCTCGATCAATTACATTTTTTCGAACGATGCTACAGAATGGACAAGTGCAAGTGTTCATCAGTTCCCTTGATACTTGTGTTGAGTAAGGCTTTCAATACTAGTTTGCAACATCTGCATAAGACACGTGCATTCAGTTTTAGGTTGTGCAACAATCCGAAATGTCAAAAGCCAAACTTCGTCGGCTATACCTGAGATTATTCAGAGCTGTTATAGGAGCAATTTCACGATCATCTCTAGGCCACCGTTGACAATGCAACTCCTCATCGAGATCATCAAGAAAATTGAGGTGGACGACAGGAATTCCGTCAATATGAGATTATTAGTTACTTCGATGCTGCATGGGTATGAAACACTCTGTATATCACATAACAAGGTTGTGCATATCACGCACGCAGTGGAAATTGCGAGTTTTGTACTACATTTTGTCCACTACTACACACTCTTTTCCCTTCAGGCCCAGTATTTTATGAGCTTTTGCATAACCAGACCAGATAGGAAACTGCACAGTGCAATATTTTCTATAGACAGTATAAGATCAATGGTTAGGAAAAAAAATACTGTGAAATGATATATGTAACAATATTTCACGCCACTATACAGGGTGTCACATGAAATGTGGGCAATCTATCCATGAAGATCTAAATAGAGAGAGAACAAAGCTGTATTTTTTAAGTTATTACCATATTCATGTGATGAATTAACAATTTTTTTACAATGTCTCTCTCTCTCTCTCTCTCTGTTCATTTCATTTAGACACTGCTTTCAGTGAGTCAAATTTCATAAGGCAGGATGTTAGTTACCCGTCACTCCTTATAATGAGTTTTATGAAATGTCTATCCCTATGTTTACAGTTATACTTCATGTAAATTAGTTGTCATGAAAGCAAGATGATTCAGCTCTAATAGACCATCCTACGCAAGATTTGAACACCCAAATCGACTTTTGTATGATTATCTCGACAATAATGATAGGTACACAATATAATGACGACTTTCAAATTACTTTCCGGATCTCAGATTGAGGTCAACACCAATAACAACGAAATCATACATCAGTTTTCTCTCCCTGAATAAAACGACAAGAAAACACAAAATCATCTCCACAACGTTCAATAATCCAGAGATTATTCAGGGAAGATGTTTCGGACAGTCATGTGTACATCATCAGACTATAATACTCACAAACCAAAGGTCCTATGATATGAATACAAGTTAATCATGAAAGATTTACTACGTGGAAATGAAAAATATTAAGGCGGGCCTTTCGCGACAGCTTTCCGACCGAATATAGCCTATATATATATACTAGTTCAACAACTATTTCCAGGTGTCAGTGTGATGTCGAAATCGGAATAAAATAATTAAATTACAGCTTTCACAGCTATTGTAGAGTTCTTCGATTTCGTCTGTTACAGCAGGTCACCAATAGGTGGCACACAATTGAATGCAATCGTAGGTAATTGTATTATGTACGTGCAGTGTTGCCAGAGCTACTGCTCCACGGGCCTGCTGAACATGATTCCACTGTTCACTCCATTCAAGTCAAGCAAATTCTCGCTACTCGCTACAATGAAAATTTATGTCATGAGTGATTTTTGAAACTGTCTTTACAAGTAGTCTTTCGAATATTTCTTTTCCTTTTTAATTTCATTTCCTACTAATATAACTTATCATTATTGGCGTCACCAGAAAAACTTCCAAGGATGGGGATCGAAATCATTGTTCAGGGCAAAATAGTCTGTGTAATTCAGAAATAATGTGTGCAAGATTTTTTATCAAGTTCAGATGGCTATAAATAGAAATTTCGTGTTTTCTGTATAGGGTATATACGTAGACGATTGCCTAGTTTCAAATATCTTCATTCTTACGAATTCACACTGCTATTACTGATATAAGGGTTATATTGATATATGCAGTGTGTAGAATGAAAGAAATCCTTGATTCAAATTTCATGTTCATGAAAAAAAACAATTTTTTCGAAGTGAGAACTTCTAGGCGCGTTGAGAACTTTTTTGGGTGGAGAAAAACATTGGATTTCGCGTCATCGTCACGACCCGTCCCGTGTCCCGTTATCGCGAGGTCAATGAATAGCAATAAATTTGAAGGGTGCAGTATCGCATCTCATCTCATATTATGTAGTATTGTATAATTATGATTAGATTCTATTCTAAATTGGTATATGGAAGTTTTCGGGGTCGGAGATTATGATTCTTTCGTGAAAATTAGGATATTGAAGATGGCTGACGAGTTTTATAATAATTATGATCCCATTCTATTCAAAATTGGTGTCTGGGGGTTCTCGGCGTCGGAGATTATGATTCTTTCATCATGGCTCCACCACCATAGGCACCATAGCGCACGAGTTTCGTAATTATGATTCTATGCAATTTGAAATTTGTATCTGGGGGTTTTTTGGGGTCGGAGATTATGAATCCCGAAATGAAAAATTCAAGATGACGGATTCAATATGGCGGACGAGTTATGTGATGATGATTCTATCCTATTCAAAATTTATATATAGGGGTGTTTGGGGTCGGAGATTATGATTCTATCGTCAAAATTGGGAAATTCAGGATTGCAGATCCAATATAGCGGACAAGTTTTCTAATTTTATTATCCGATTCTATTCAAAATTTTTACTGGTGTTTCAGGGGTCGGAGATTTTGAATCATTTGTCAAAATTAGGAGATTCAAGCGAACACCATCTCAAAAGTTTTTGTTAGTCTATCTTAGACAGCGAATGTTTTTAGGTAATAAAGTTTGTCGAGTTGATAAAAATTCTGTTTGATAGTGATAAAATAGTGTATAGTGTGAGTGTGATTATATCGTACCAAAGTTTCCAGGATTCCCTGGTTTCGGTCTTCAACATAACGGTGAGAAATTGATTTGCCATCATATGCTTTCTATATATCTCACAATCCATTTTGTTTTAATGGTCAATTTTTTTTAAATCATTTGAAAATCGAATTATAATGAAAAAAATATAAGAAAATTATGTTCATGCTGATATAAAACTCATACAAAGTTATTGTATGGGGAATTTTAAAATGAAATATTTTTCTTGAACAACCTCTGTTTCTCCAAAACTATAACAACATTTTCTATGAGAGATGTGAGGCTGCATCTTGATATTCTGATGTTTACTATTTCTAGCTCACACATTGACCATTTTCATGCTGATTTAAAACTTACAAAGTTATTGTATGAGGAATTTCAAAATAAAATATTTTCCTTGTACACCCTGTTTCTCCAAAACTAACAGCATTTTCTATGTGAGATGTGAGATGTGAGGCTGAATCTTCATATTCTTATGTTCTTATTTCTAGCTCACACATTGACCATTTTGAATGAATAACCCTGTATATATTTCAAAGAAAATTTTAATATCACGGAATTCATTGAATTTCAAAAATCTTCCCCAAAGAAGATGTAAGTGGAATATGAAGTATCTACCTACGATAATTCTCTAAAACATGAACTGGATGTTCGATAACGTCTCCAAATGTCTCGAAAAAAAAGCGGCTGCTATATTTTCAAATATTTCGTATGTGGCTGACTTTCCCGTTGCCACGCCTTTCTGCCCATTCTTATGAATTTTTGCGACATATCATTTGCAGCAGCTTGCAACACTGGCTTTTCAATTATTGATTATATCCCGGTTAGTTTGAAGTTCATCTGAAGTTCATGCAATTCAAAGTGGCACGTGGCGACTGCGGAAAGACGGGGAATCACCGCGCGACCAATGAATATCCCCCCGGTTCGCCGCGGGAGGGAGAGAGACATATAACGATTTCTCGCTCAGTTTTGTTTTGTTGCCGTGGCGGTATTATCCTTTGTGAACATCGCCATATGAATGGATCCAAAATCTGATAACTGTACTCTGAGACGAATTTTTTTGCATGAGTTTTAGAGTGAAATAACCTGAACTTTTGACACAGATTAACAAAGCTTTTTGACGTTTGTTCCACAACTGTGCCATTCCTATTATTTCCATCTATATGCTGACATAATTATCGATCTCATGAATAGAATTGAAGAAATTCTGCTGAATTTGTATGTTTAAATTTTCAGGTCTAGCTACTTATATAATTATAATTCAGTGACAAAATCTAGGCCGTTTCAAACTACTCTATTTATTTTCTAGTTCTTTTTAGTTCGGTTCTCTATACCTCTTCAATTTTTCAAACTACTCTTTATTTTCTACTCACTTTTTTTTAGTACGGCTATCTATAAAAAGGTGTTTCATTAGTTTTTCAAACTAATATTTATTACAATAGCTGATACCCGGCAAACGTTGTTCTGCTATATACAATTATTTCCAGAAAATATTTTTTTAGTTAAATATTTATCAACATAGGTACTTTTATTCATTTGTTTTCTAATTCTTCTCCGACCCCGAAAACACCCAGATACAAATTTTGAATAGAATCGGATCATAACTACAGAACTCAGTTGCCATCCTCCATCTTCAATTTCCTTATTTTGATGAACAATCATAATCTCCCATCCCAAAATCCCCCATATACAAATTTGGAATGGAATCGGATTAAGTTACAAAACTCGTCAGCCATATTGAATCTGCCATCTCGGATTTCCAAATTTTGATAAAAGGATCATTATTTTCGACTCCGAAAACCCCCCGATACCATATTTACATAGAATCTGATCATAATAATTAAAAAACTCTTCCACCATATTGGATCCACCATTTTGAATTTCCCCATTTTGACAAATGATTCATAATTATCTACGACCTCTAAGACCTCCAGATACCAATTTTGGATAGAATCTGACCATGATTACAAAACTCGTCCGCCATATTGGATCCGCCATTTCGAATTTCCTAATTTTGATAAAAAATCATAATCCCTGACCTCGAAAACCCCCAGATACCAATTTTGAATGATATCTGACCAATCTGTTCTGTTCAGCACCAAAACATAGGCTGATGCTCTTAGATTCCATCCAGAGAAGAGCCATTCGCCTGGTGGGTGACGCCACACTCACTCACTCTTTGACATCATTGGAACACCGTAGAAAGGTCGGCGACCTTTCACTTTTCTATCGATACTTCCACGGGAAATGGCTATCATCCCTCCACTAGCAATACCAGTCAGACGAAGTAGACAAGCCCAGTCAGCACATCATCTCGTTGTCCACCTCGAAAGATGTCGAACAGCACCTTATCAAAACTCCTTCATCCATAGAACGGCTAGGCTCCAATACCTACCTCCTGTCCCTTTCCTCCCTAGGAACGCACGATGTTCTTTGAACATTATAGGGATTTCCTTTCGTGCGCTCCAAGCGATAAAAAAATAATTACAAAACTCGTCCGCCATATTGGATCCACCATTTTGAATTTTCTTATTTCGATGAAGACATCATAATCTGCGACCTCGAAAACCCCCAGATACCAATTTTGGATGGAATCTGACCATAATTACAAAGCTCGTCCGCCATATTGGATCCGCCATCTTGCATTTCCAAAATTTGACTAAATATTCATAATCTCCGACCACGAAAACCAGTACGAGTACCAATTTTGAATGAAATCGGATAACTATACTCGGTCGCCATATTGGATCCGCCATTTTGTATTTTCTATTTAAAAAATAGATTACGACCGATTCTCATGCCTACCGAATACGCACAAAAAATTTCATACGAATCGGTCGAGCCGTTTCGGAGGAGTTCGACCACTATGACCGTGACCGTGACAGGAGAGTTTTATATATAAGATTTGTTCGTCTTACAAACACTCGGAGAACCTCTCCTTGAAATATGCCCAGATAATTGAATAATACCCTCTGTATTATCACGTCGCCTAGATTTCATAATATGTCCGAGTAATATGTATAACATTGGCAACGGTGTAAACGGGTTTGAATTCATCATCTCTCCTAAGCGCCATCTGCTTGCAATACAATGCACCATTCCTCTCTGCCGCAGTCTGTCATTTCGAACACTGCCATCTATCAGGTAGTGCCTGAACTACCACATCCTAGTTTCCTGCATTATATTCTTTCAAGAAATGGAGTTTACCGAGATCAGCTGGGATGAATGGATATTTTGTTGACAGAATAATCGTTTTTGTTGCTTCCTGTTCGAATGGAACCATTTCAAGAGCTGATATTTCAGTGACACCTCGCCGAATTTCCAACAATTGTACTGAGATCGAAAATATTTCAATTTGAGACAAAAAAATTTCAATGTTTACGTTTTTCAAAAATCTGTATCTTCTATAAATAAATGAGTTTCGACTCCGTATGATAACCAGGCCCTAGTCCCAACCTTCCTCTTTACGATGATTTAATCAGTTTTTCAATTGAATCATTCATAAGCCCAAATAGCAACAACTAGTGCAGGCCTGCATGTCGATTTGGTTGAATCTCTCCTCTTAAGAAGAAATCATTGATTAAAATTGTTCGTGTGCAAAGCACCGATTAAAGGGTCAGGTTATTGTAAAGGGGCCTGTGCCCTTGTGAAAGCGTATACATAATTGAAATTCAATAGCACAACCCATTATTGAAAAATACCGAAAAACACCGAATCAAATAATAGACAAAAACAGGAACCTACATCAGCAGATGATGGAGGATAAGTGGTGCTCCTATAGCAATCCACAAAACACAAGGTCTATGATGACACATATAAGACAGTGACAAATGTCAACTGTCCGTAGAAAAAGTATAGTGGTTGTGGATAACCAGAAGCCGATAAATTGAATACTTTGCTCACATGTATGCATATACAGTGTCATTCATAAAGTCGGCATCATATGGAAAAAACTTTTATTATTGACTTATTTTGGAATTCGAGTTGGACGTTAAGTTTTGCTTCAAAAAAGATGAAGAATGGCCTACTCAATCGGGGTCACGTGACTTTCGCTACATGTCAAAAGTGACATTTTTTCAAATTAATCGCTGAAAGTAGACTTATTTGTTCGAATATCGAAAAAGTTTACTTGAAAAAGTTGTTTCTATTTCAATTTTACACATGCTTCCCGAGTTTGATCTTTCTATTGCATCTTTTAGATTTTGATTTTTTTTAATTTTTCGAAATTTCTGTAATATTTGAAGATAGATAGATAGAGTTCATTTGACTATGTTACATACGAGTATGTATGTTAATTCCACGAAACTACTTCATACCAGTAGCTTTTTCATGCTACTTACTTTCAATTACTTATTATCACCGATTATGGACAGAAAAATGATTTTCTTCAGAAAATGATAATACCCGCTTCCAAATTCTGTTATGTTTGATGCAAAGTTGATATATCGTCAAGCATTTAGAAACGAAATTCATTTAAACTGATCTTTTCAGTACTGAAAAAATAAATTTAAATGAATTTCGTTTCTAAATGCTTAACTCAAACATAACAGAATTTTGATGTTATGTTTGGATCAAACATAACAGAATTTTGAAGAGGAGATTATCATTTTCTGAAGAAAATCATATTTTTGTCGATAATTAGTGATAATTAGTAATTGAAAATTAGTAACATGATGAAGCTACTGGTATGAAGCAGTTTTATCGAATTTACAATTTTTTTAATATTACAGAAATTTCGAAATTTTTTAAAAAATATCGAAATCTAACAAATGTAATAGAAAGATAAAATCCGAGTCACAAATGTAAAATTCAAATAGAAACAACTTTTTCAAGTGAACTTTTTCGATATTCGAACAAAAATAAGCCTACTTTCAGCGATTAATTTGAAAAAAAGTCACTTTTGACATGTAGCGAAAGTCACGTGACCCCGATTGAGTAGGCCATTTTTCATCTTTTTTGAAGCCAAACTTGACGTCCAACTCGAATTTCAAAATAAGTCATTAATAAAAGTTTTTCCCATATAATGCCGACTTTATGAATGACACTGTATAATTAATTACTTAATTATGGTAAAATTATTAGAAGTCGAATCATCTTTATTAATTTTCAACTGGAGTATCAGTAAATTGCCAAAAACGATATTTAGATGTAAAAACTTCACAAACGATAAGATTTCTACGAAGCCCTGGAAGGGACACATGAAATAAAAAAAAATAAAAACTCTTCAAAATTCCGACTTATAAGTCGGAATTTTGATGTAAAATTCCGAGTTATAAGTCGGAATTTTGATGTAAAATTCCGAGTTATAACTCGGAATTTTAAAATTCCGAGATATAAGTCGGAATTTTACATCCAATATTCCGTGTTATAACACGGAATTTTAAAATTCCGACTTATATCTCGGAATTTTAAAATTCCGAATTATAACTCGGAATTTTAATATTCCGAGATATAAGTCGGAATTTTACATCCAAAATTCTGAGTTATAACTCGGAATTTTAAAATTCCGAGTTATAACTCGGAATTTTACATCCAATATTCCGAGTTATAACTCGGAATTTTAAAATTCCGAGATATAAGTCGGAATTTTTATGTAAAATTCCGAGTTATAACTCGGAATTTTAAAATTCCGAGTTATAACTCAGAATTTTGAAGAGATTTCATTTTTTTTATTTTATGTGTCCCTTCCAGGCCTTCGTAGATTTCTCCAAAATTTTGTGTAAATCTTATGTCATGGATTTCCATCAAGTAACGGCCGAGTCAATTCAAAATTTGAAGGAAGCTACGACTAGCTTTTTGGCCACCTGGTACTTTAAATTCATCCTTCGTTGCGCCATTACAAATAGAAATATCTGGTTCTTCAATATCTGCATTAAAAACAATGTTTTTCCAAAATTCATTCAATTTAAAACGTCAAATCATAGTAGTGCAGCACAGTGTGGTATAATAGCAGGCAAAATAATGTAGATAAAAAAAAAATGTTTGTGTAAATCTTATCGTTTGTGAAGTTTTTGAAAAGAAAACGATATTTAGATTTTTGCGTATTTGTTCGGTTTATTTCATTTGGCACTTTACAACTGTGATAATATAGCTTATGGGTGATATAATAATGCATCGATTTCCACAGGGTATTATTCAACGGGATCAGGAGAACCCAAAAAGTGTCAGACGACGAAAACATAATTCCCTATCGAGCTACAGCTGAAGAGTTTTACAATTACAAAGTGATCACAGATTACTTGATACCAGGACAAATAGAGCTGTTTCCGAGGGATTCTCTCAGCGTTTCCCAGTTATGTTTACTCCACTCTATTATTTCGAGCACTGTCGATCCTTCAGAGAGAGGCGATGAAAGTTCAACATGCGACGATAGATCGAGCATGCCCCTGTGAGTATACATCTACCGGATTATGGTTCAATATCCTTTCCCAATATTTTCTGACATTCAACTCAGAAAAGAATCTTATTCATAAATAGACCTCCTCATGATTGAAAAATATTACGGACTAGTCAAATTTTCACGTCAAACAAAAACAAATCCAATAATTGACACAAATGTGACATGTTCGAAATAAAAATCTTCTTTTTGAGATTTTTTTATCAATAAAATGTGAGCGAAAAAAGCCGAATAGCTTCAAGGAAATAGTTATTTGTTTAACTAGGCAGCAAAGTAGTAGATTGACTGCCGGGGCTGAATTCATAGCCGAGCGTAGCGAGGCTAGGAATTCAGCTAAGGCAGTCAATCTACTTTGCTGCCGAGTTGAACATATAATTTTTTCTCCGATTGTTCATAATGATATAGGAGGATATCGCATTTGCAAATTATTACAATTCCCACAATCTCTTCATTTTTCGTGTAGTGTTCAAATAAAATTTGATAGAAATCGCAGTTGTTGGAATGGTTGGTTGCTATGGAAATGTCCATAATAATTATAGTTTGACAATTCATGAAATTTCTGACAGTTGTGCAAAAAAATTTCGGTATATATAAATAATTATATAATGGACAGTGATAGCGATCTGGAAGTACTTACTCCTCCAGAAATAAAGGAGGTGGCAAAAAATATAGAGTTGAATTTGTTGCCGGAGAAGTCTCGGATGAAATATGAAGGAAATTATAAACGATTTATGGATTATTGATTTTGCTGACATATCAATCAGCAAAGTAACCACTTTGCTGCCTAGGCAGCAAAGTGGAAGTAATACTTTGCTGATTGATATGTGTCAGCAAAATTAATATTTGCTGCCGATCGGAGAAAATAGTTATTTATGTACCTAGGACGAAAAACTGGCTATTATAGTCGAATCTGCAAATTGATAGCCGAGGCCTTAGCCGAGGCTAGCAATCAGACGAGACAATAGACAGTTTTTTGCCGAGGTGCATATTGAATTTTTTCGTCGACCCCAAACACTTATATTCACACGACGGTCCTATTCACAAGTGGAATCTATCGAATTTTGCAATTTATTAATTCGACAACAGCAAATTACATTTGTTGTCAGCTCACTCTCCGCGTTCGCACCAGGGATGCCAGTTCAATTTTTATTTCATCAGTAAAATACCTTGCCAAAAATTCAATAGATTTCAGTAGATCTATTCAAGATATATTTCATGCTATACGAATTCCAAGAATACGAATGTGGTTCCGACTGTTCCGACACTCTGTGTAACAGTGATTTCCACGACGAAAAAACTCGTAGGTATAGGCTTCTATACATTCAACTAATTATTGTAGTATGAGTTCGTATTTTACTTCTCTCACAAAACGTGTTATTGACTCATGATGTCTTTGGATATAAAAATAAACCAATTGGAATTGGCAATTTAGCACATATAGTATATGAAATCCGGTTCTCAAGGTTGAAATAGATGAAATCTGGTAATCTTAAAAGCGGAACAAATGTCAGCATCAATCGTAATCTGTATGATACTAAAAAGTCGTTAATAATAAGAAGGAATTGTCTCCCCATATAGCTATATATACACGATTATTTATATTATTACTATTCATTATATTTTTGGAAGTATTTTCACTTTGAGCTGCGATACCTAACGACCCACCAAAGTTCGTTTTGATAGGATCTATTTCCACAAAGGATATCCCTATAGACTGGGTAAAATGTTAGCAACAATATTTTAGTTTCTCCCTAATTTCACTCGATTTCACTTCGGAACAATCATGGCGTGTCGGAATTCAACAATCATCCTTGATAAGAGATGAACATTCGACAAATGAATTTCCCAGGGAAATAGGAGAATTGGGCAGCATCACCCCGAGCAGCTGTCCCCTTCAAAAGGGCACCGTCAAAACCAAATGGGGCTCCATATCGGTCACCCATCTGATCACAGCCATAGCCGCAGGCCTTCAGCGCAATCCGGTGCCTTTTTCCCGCGTAGTCCAAGGCATCCAAAAAGAAAAAGAAGAAGAACGCACTTCCGATCCTCGCGCAGCCATCTTGCCCATCGCGAGCGATGCCATGGCAGACGCGATTTGGGTAGCTACCTTGGCGGGAGATATGGCCAAGGCCATCTTGAATCAGGCCAGCGGGACCCCGGTTATAGGAACTGCGGGGTTCTGGAACGATACGCTTCTGCCTCGAGCTTTCTACCTCAAGTCTAACGCTTGGGACCTGACTGAAGCTGGAATTTTGGCAGGGATCGACGGTAAGTGGATACTTGCAACATCCTCCTAATAGACCGGAAGACAGTGACAGATTTTCAGACGTGATTTCACCCAGTTTGCCTTTTGGAGGGTATATTATTATGTGCATATCTTGATGTTGATAAATGATACAAGGTTTATTTAAATAACACCGAAAACATTCAAGGGGTGAGTCCTTGTGATCTTAAGGGAAATGAAGTTCTTATACAGTGTGTCCCACTTACCATGCTCACCATGGGTATCTTTTTAACGGTGAGAGATGCGAAGTCGGCTAAATGACACCAAATGTGGAGTTTGTCAAGGCCAACTATACTGTGAAAAATATGTATAATGTATTGTCACCGAAATTATGAACACCTGCCAAATTTCAAGTTAATCGGAGTTATGGAATTTTTGTTGAAATTCAAAAAAATGGCTGCTCCAAGATGGCGGGCAAGATTTGGTCCGATTCCATTCAAAATTGGTAAGTGGGGGTTTTTGAGGTCGGAGATCATGATTTTTTTGTTTAAATTCATAAATTCAAGATGGCGGCTTCCAAATAATTTTTTGTTTTTGTATAAATGACGATAACTCCGTTGTTATGAACACAAAACAATTACTGTGACATATCATCTGTAAGAGAAAAAAAAGTTATTTGTAACTAAGTCATAGTGAGCTATGACCTACATTTGAAAAACTAAAGTTGGTGCTGATATCTCAAATTCTAGAAGAGTTGGTATAAATTTCATATTTTTCGAAATCACTTTGAAAAACAACCATGAGAATGTGAAATTCCTATTTGAATATTTTCATAAATAAAGGAGTTACGGAGGAGACATGAAAATGATCAAAATCTGTTTTTGCGTATAAAACAAAAACGAATAGATTTTATCAAAATATTTTTTCACATAATAGTTGGCCTTGACAAACTCCACATTTGGTGTTATTTAACCGACCTCGTATCTCTCACCGTTAAAAAGATACCCATGGTGAGCATGGTAAGTGGGACACACTGTATACATGGGTCCTAACTTGCTTCGTTTTCGAGATACAGGGTATTGATATTTCTCAATTGTCTTTTCATCAATTTCAATAAAACGTTGTGGTTTTGTTAATAGTAATATGGAGCTTCTTCTAGTGCGATTTGATTCGAAATAATATTTCTAATGGCGTCACAGTGGGTATAAATCTATCGATATTCATGGTGAATGTCATAGTACACCACCGGTTTTTCTGAGTTTCATATTTTTATTAGATTGAACCATTGAAATAACAACGTTTTTATCCTCTGTGTGATTCTTATATCTAGCTTAGTTTTTGAGGAAACAATATAAATTCGATTTGACTCCAAATTTCAATGTAGGTGTTTTCAAGACTTCCATTGAGATAACTCAATAACCCCAATTAGAATCATCTTGAAATTTTGGGGCTTCCTCAGTCTCCATCCATACTGAATTTTGATAACATGAAAGCTTATACAGGGGGTTATAAATAAAAACAATTAATACTTTCAACTTCAACATTCTGTATCTCAAAAACGGAGCAAGTTAGGTGTTATTAAGATACACCCTGTATATGAAATAATCCTCACGGGATTTTCACGCATTAAAGCGTATTTTCAAGGTTTAGGTGTACTTGGACATGTGCAAACCTTTCCTATGATTTCAATATTATTCCACTCTGCCATATGTGGGAAACATACATAATAAGATAGGTATATAGTGATTTTTCTGGAAAATTATTTCTGTTGGGTTTCACAGATTTCTTCTTATAAAACAACAGTGAATCGTGACCATACATCAATATGTCATCGACAAGTGTCAAACTATAAGAACACAACTTTCAAACAAAAATATTTTTATATATTCATGTTAAACGGAAGCAGATTTGTTCCCGCAACGTCCAAAGATAAGTAATAATTCGATATATTTTCAATATATTCATATTTCTTCTCTTCAAACATTTTTTCAAACAAATAAGTGTCACTGAAAAGCGATTTTTCTTTTAGGTTCCCTGATAGAAAAATTTGTTGAACGCACGTTTTGAGGCAAATCATCTGATTTGTCCTATTACACATAATAATAAATTGAAATAATAATCGTATTTTTATTTCATAGAAAATCCCAAATAATTAAGTAAAATGAATGTTCCACCTCCTCGATTAACCTACAAACAGTATTTAGATACTTTCTTGAATACCGAATAAATTTAACAGATTTCCTAATGTGTATATCTTCGCGTTTCCTATATAAAATCTCAATGCACCAACAATTACTATGGGAAAGTACATTCACAGTGTTATTCTCACCAGCACGACATATAAATGTTAATAAAGTAACAAAAATATCAGACCATCAACTAGATAAAATGAAGTGACGCTGATATCCTGCCTATGCAACGCTTTCATTGCCTGAGGCAAGCAATTTTCAATATGATTTATGGATAAGCATCATGTTTATAATTATTTGCCAATAACAAATAACTACATATAAGTTCCATCAGGAGGAACATTCATGAAAATTTTAAATTACCCTTAACAATATAATTTCGTTGACCTTGAATCAGTGTGTTGCCTTCAATAAATCAACAATCTGTCAATGCCCCATGAGCCAATCACAAAATCAAAATAGGAAGAAGAAATAAGTATGGTATCTCCATTTCGATTATAGCAGTTTACTGTTTTGTCGTAGGTGCGATATTGGGAAGTCACGTGAGAGAATGGCTCAATATTCTGGATAGCATCAGGCTGTCCCAAATTTTAGATATGTATTATTCAGAGAGAGGCATACCCTTTAACTTCGGATACAGAGCCAATAATCGAAGCATCAGCTTCAACTCCTTACTTGATGGTGTGAATTTGACAGAACAGGCAAGTTAATTTATCACTCGACTGTCGGAGTCAATATTGACCCCGTGTACAGGATGACCCAATCATTTATCACCGATACACTGAACTTAAATTCTGGAAGTCATTGAACTAGATAGAAGAAAACTGATGTCGGTGCCTGAGGGTCGATTCTCATGCAAAACTCAATGGTGAAAACCGCATATGGATACACAGAACGAAAAAGGTACGTTATATTAATAAAAAAGTACATCAAATCAGTGAACGTCAACATTAATTTTGGGCCGATGACGGGTTTCATTAATACAATGAACGGTCGTACGTAAATTTTCTTGTTGATTGAGTTATGACTGCAGTAGGTACGTTGAATCAACGAATAATGGTCATCGATCTATGTTTGCCGGTGATTGATATTACGAATGGATTTACATTGGTTCATGGTTGTTGTACATTGAATCAATAAACAGCGAGCATGGATCTATGATGATAAACATTGGTTTATGGTTGATGTACATTGTATCAATTAACAGTGAGCATGAATATGTAAGTGCCAGTTACGAAGGACAGACTCAGTTTATCACAGCTGAACATTGAATCAATAATCAGCTAGCATGGATCTATGATCGGCGGTTATTGATATTACGAACGATAGCCATCACTTGATGATTTTCTTCATTGAATCAATGAAAAATGAGCATGAATCTATGTTCGACACTTATAGATGTAACGAACAAATTCTATTGGTATTTAACAGTGGTATAGTCGTCGTCGAAGATAATGTTGTCAACAGTATCGTCACTATCAGTAATAAGGGGACAATTTTTTCACGCATCAGAGTAATTAATTTCTAAAATTTTGAAAAACCCAAAAACGGCCCAAAATTATTTAGTACATCCACTGATTTGATGTGACCTGATGAATAATATAAGATATACATTTACAAGGCAGTCGCAGAACACTGATGGTTTTCTTAATGAAATATCTTTTTTTTTTTTGTTGAAATCTACCTAATTGTATTGAATAACAAATGTAATGAATATTTTTTAATGAAGTCAACTAAAAATGTTTCCGAAATGTCAAAAATACACTGAATGATCGAAGACTGATAAACTTGGACGATATTCAAAAAACAAATATTCGCTCACCTCATACATTTTTTGTCGGAATAAACAAATTTTGCCCTTTCCATTCATTATAATATAATTATAACTAAGTATCTGATAATAAGGGAAATGTTCCACAGAAATCTCTGCTATAATTCAATCACAAGTAATACCAGTCAGACGAACTCGACAGGCCCAGTCAGCACATTCTTTCTTTGTTAACTTTGAAATATGTTGAACTACACTCTACCAAAACTTGTTCGTCCATAGAACGGCGAAGCTTTGGAATTATTTGCCAATGTAAGTATTTTCAAGAACTAATAAACTCCCTATACAAGACAACGGAAATTTTGTCAAATCAGGTAAAATACTGATCTGAACACCTAATTAACTTGATTTTCATTTTCTGTAGAAAATAAAATGATAACAATGTGATGACAATAACCAGTAGTTGTAGAAAGAATAGTACCTTGTGCATCCCACGAGTACCTACCCAGCAAACATTTTGATATGGGTGCAACATAATCGACACATTGAGTTGCCCATAGCTAGCCCAGCATAAACAGAAATGATGGGACTGTAATGGCCAATTAACGACATTGGTTACATATTAACGAGGTAGGAAGAGGGGTAGGAGGAGGGGTAGAGGGAAGGGTAGGGGTTTCAGGGGTCCAATTGATCTGGAAGTTCTAGTAACTCAATATATTTTTTGATGTTTATCATCATATTATATGAAATAGACACATACCAGATTTCAAGGAAACAATTTATGAATGACACAATGATATCTTCTTAACCTCTCTCTTCTTCCATGATAAAACTCCTCAGAGTGACTGCTTACCGGCTGGTATATCTACATCTTCATCTTATTTGGGAAGCATTCCTCCAAAATAGATTCTTCGTTGCGAGGTAGGTACTTCTGAAATATAAAATTCTTCATAAGTTATCATGAAGTGGCCTTTCTTGATGTCAGAATTCTTTCTTCATAGAAGTATGAGAAACAAAATACTCTGTTATATGAGTTCATAACTTGATCAATATATAGTCTGATGACGTGATATATACTTACATATGGAGGCACAGGCCTTATTGTTATTCACTTCAATGATAGAGACAGGTTTCCATAACCAAATATTACTTCTGATAGTAACGAACCAAGCAGTCCATGATAGTTACGCTTCTGGAGAGGTAGGAGCCACTACAATTATTGTCATCACAAACACATGCATTTCATAACAAAATTTGGAACACTAGATGGTAGATTGATACTTACTCAATACATATTATCATCATTGAAGAATCCATCTTCTATATTATCAATTGAGAATACTCCTGCCACCATAACTGCCATTATAACGACCAGGGAAAGTGATGAGCACAATGATATGACAACAAACCAGAGCAAAACGAAACATACGCTATCACTAGAGTGACATATAATAATTATCCAAATGATCAGCTGATTGTTGATGTAGACGTTCCCAGAAAATCCCCCAGTGGGACGAGTAGTGAACAGGATATTGGCCAGCAAGGGGCCACAACTCGTTAGTGCTCAACTCGTTCTATACATCATACCATCACAAGGCCATCATCGTATTTTCAACTGATGGTTACTTAGCATAGAGAAATCATCGGACATCACCAATACACCGGCATCGACACTTTCTCACACTTGCCTGCACTAGGCCGGAATTCTCCCGGTAGTTCAATGTTTGCTGAGTTAATATATCCTAATCGTAAGAATTGTGAAAAAAGTAATTCAAAATTAACAGGACTCACCTTTCTCAAATATGTTAGGTTTAGTATCCCATTGATGTGGCACAATTTCACAAATAGGTAGGAATTCTATACGAGCCACAGAAACACAAAACACGACCCAGCACTTTCAACTTTTCATTAACAACTGAACGAATAGAAATAAAATAAAATGGCAAATGAAAAATTCACCGCGTATTATGAAACCTTTTCATAGTATTAATGTTTGGCGTGATTGATCCATTGGTAGGCAACATTAATTTGGCGCCTGTTTTGGAAGTTGATGTTTCTTTTCATAGTATTAATGTTTGGCGTGATTGATCCATGGGTAGGCAACATTAATTTGGCGCCTGTTTTGGAAGTTGATGTTTCATTTCATGAAATCAACGTTTAGTGTTCATTGAAACAATGAAGACCATTCATTATTTTCTTATGTTTGTTGTTGATAGATCCATGACGAAAAGTTTATTGCTCCAATGATGAAAAACATAGATCAATAAACATAAAACGTTGACTCAATGAAGTTTTTCATCACATGAATAAAAAAAATGATTAACTTTTGATGTTTCTCGTTCATTGTTCAATGTTGGCTCGTTCATTGTTTCAGTGTCTTGCGGTATGAACCCATCATCAGAAATGATTGTAATAATCATCGATTCGTAATATTAATGTTCAAAAAATTGACGACCGCCGTTTATTAATTTTACGTACAAAATTATTTTCTGTGTATATCTGTCTTTGTTTCGGAGTTACAAGGTGTTCTATGGATATTTTTCAAAAGTGGCTACAATTTTTTTTTGCAAAAATTGTATGTTCTTATGAAGATAACTGCAAAGCATTGAATTTGTAATAACAATCATTCTTGAGGTACCGAAATCGGCCTTCCTATATCTTGTTCAAGAATATAACTTGTTCTACTTAAAGGCAAAGTTCTATTTCGAAACTAGGTATATGGTAACTGATTTCAGTGCATGAGGATCAATATTCATGACAAACACAATGCTTTGGAAATGTTTTTATGGAAACAAAGAATTTTTGAGAAAAAACTGAGTTTCAGCCACTTTTCAAAAATTCAAATTTTTGAATAACACCTTGTTACTCTGAAACGAAGATAGATATCGATATGCAGTTTTCACCATTGATTTTGTCATGTTAATAATTGATCAACAGGCCCAATATCAGTTTTGTTCTATCAAGTACGGGAATTTCCCAGCAAAAGTGTCCAATTTGGCTCACCCTGTACAAGGTAATTGTTTATATTTCACTCAATATCTATCTCTGTTATATTGGTCTTACAGAAACGTGCAAATAGACAAATATGAAGTATTTTTTATGGGCACTCAGAATTTAGTACCTAAAAATTTCACATAAACTGATATTTTTTATGAAACGCCCCGTATTTTATTTTCTTAATCGGTAGAGTTTCTTCTAGTTTCAAATATATATTTATATTCATTGAGGCATAGATATTGAGGTTATCTTTGTCAGTTTTCGAAAAATATAGATTCTAAGGCAGGTGTATAGAACGCCATCAGATATCGTCTGGCGTTCTACAGCAGCTGCCTTAGATTCATACGAAGAAATCTATATTTTTTGAAAACTGACACAGGATAACCTCAATAAAGTATATACAGGGTGTTTCAGATTTAAATGTACATACAAGACTCGCATATAGAAAACGCTATGATGATTTCAAATCACCCCCCATTGATGTGTCTATCGTCCTTATAACTGAGATGATGGACGTTATCTTGTTTTTGGCAAAAACTCCATCTGGTCATAATTTTTTAACCACTTTGCATAATCTGTCCGAACTTGATAGAAATATTAGACTCATATAACCCATCAGAACTGAATAAAAATCGAGATCATAATCCAGGTCCGTCTTGAGGAAAAACTGATAATTTCTTTTATTCGAAAAACAGCACTATGTATAGCAAAATTTAGTGGATCTATTTTGATATTTGGAAAGAGTAGGAAAAAATTAATATTTTGTACGAGCGTACTTTGACAGATGGTTTATTAGTATTTCTTGAAATATTCAGCTCCATTCCGAGGCATTTTCAATGAACTCGTAATTCAAAATCCAATTTTGATACAAAACATATCAGTCTTCGAAGTTCAACATCATAAGAGTCAAATTAGGTATACTATCGATAGATTTGTTTGTTTGAAAAATAACTTGTCAATGATTTTAGGAATTTTCGAGGACTCATTTCATTCTTCACTATTTATTCATAAGGTGTAATAAAGTAGGCTGTGAAGAAAATTTTGATATTCTGACAGTTCATAATAACTAGTCTAATATTATTGGTAACGTTGAGGTTATCGTGTTAAGGCATAGGTAATAATTATGAACGCTTAAAAATGTAACAACCCAATACAAGCACCAACAATTATCTTAACGTGATTATGAACTGTCAGAATATCAGATTTTTTTGCACAGCCTACTTTATCGCAGCTCATGAACTAATAGTAAAGAATAAAATCAGTCCTCGAAAATTCCTTGAAATCATACACAAGTTATTCTGTCAAAGGAACAAATCTATCTCCTATAGTTAACCTAGTTTGACTCTAATGTAGTAGTATTTTCCTCACATCGAGAATGCGAATTCTCAAAAAAATATATGAAAAAATATATAGGGTGTTCCATTGAAAATAACGAAGTTGGTACCTGTTTCTCATATCAGCGATAGTCATTTGGTTCGCCTCGTACAATATTCTGGAGGTTCAGAACGAACCCTACAAATTTTGTATTTGAAGTTTTTCTCTATCTTTAATGATGAACCCTGTAGAAGCCGTTAAAATATACGGAATGACCATGTAAATTAGTACTTATCAATATTCAATAACAACATGGTTATAAGTATTAGCAGATATCCAAACATCTTGACTCGAGTGAACCTATTACGGTTGAGAAAAAGCCCCAAGGTCAATGTCAAAAGTCATGATAAATTTCCCACAAACGTCTGTTAGGTTCAGTCCAGGACAATGCATATCCCTTACACGGCAGTCTAGTCCACTTAATGTAACATTCCTTCCAGCCATGCATAAGGACTTTTCCTTATCGATTTAGGAAGAGATAAAGTAATCTCCTACGGTCTTTTCCCTTTTTAGATAATCGGCTCAGGCAAATTGCTGCAAGCCATAGGACGTTTCGGAGTCAGCATGGCAGACGAAGCTCTTGAGAAATTCGCCGGGATGGCTTCTAGCCATCTCAAATCTGTAGCAGGTAACAGCATGATTTTTTTTTCTTCTCATTTTTGACATTTCTAATGGAAGGTTGAGTGAAAGACAATGGAAAAATATCAATTAGCGATAATAATCTCTAGATGTCGAGGTGCTCATAGGCGTCACTCTATTGTTTGATGAAGGCACGACCTCATACCGGGTGATATAGGATCTAGGCCCCTTGTAACTTCGATCATGGAATCAAATAACTAAATTATGAGTAATGATACTTTGGACATATTGACGCATTATAAATTTCGCAGTTTTTCTATTGGCAAAGCATCGGTATATAATAAATATGGAATTCATTCGATAATTTCACACATCATATACAGTCTGCTTTCGCACTGACGAGAGATATCTATACTTCATTGGAATCTAATTGACAATATTTTTTCCTATTTCACATTAATTAGTGGGCGAATGGGCCTGTTTTAGTGAAAAATTGTATTTTATTATTTTGAAATACCTACTAGCTCAACCCAGTCATCGAACACCAACTTTCGGTGACTGGTAAAGTTGGTGTTCGATGATCCAGTTCACTGTCGTAAACCGTTTTCTCCTCATATAGCTCTGTAAATGTGTTTAATAATAATAAAAGTGTGGAAGTGAATTGTTATTGTCATTATTCAATGCGGTTATATTTTTATTGGTTTTTGTGAAATATGAAACTATTAGCACTAATCGGTATATATCACCTCATCGAAAGCTAGCGTCTTTGAGAGATGATTATTCTCATTTAGTATCGAAAACAAATATTTGTGAAGATCTTGAATAAGAAATGACTGTACCAAGTACTATTAATACACGGAACAATCAATTTTATGATATTTATTCAAACTGAAACCTGCGAAGAAACGCCACTGAACAATCCCAAGAAAAATGGCAGATGCACGTAGAATCATCGATATCGAAATTTGAAACTCTCCAATTGCATCAAAATTCATCTAATCCTCCACCAATTACGATCAAAATAAAATGTAATTCATTTTATGTAATGAATTATCACTGAGTAAATTAGATACTGTAAAGGTTTTTTTTTCTTCATCTGAGCGGTAGGTACGTGAGAAGACAGATTGTTTTCGAAACAGAAATTGAAAACCATGTCTCGTACTAAATGAAATTCTATTCCATACTAACACAGAATATTGTTGCTTTTTAGAATTTGAACAACGTTTGTGGGTATATGCAAACAGCAAAACTGTAGAATGTATAATTCGGTAGATGATGTAATATTTACCAGTAAGTCGATTTAACGACTTTCAACTTTACCGTTTGATGAAATAACAGATACCTAGATAATAAATTCATTGTGCCCATTTCATGAAGAGAGGAAATTATTCACCACGAACATCATCGCATACCTATTATTGCAATGATACTTTCTGCATAAATGAGAATACCTTGTTTCAGTTACCATTTAAACAAAAAATATCTTTCAGGGGAAATAGCGAATAAATACGATAGAATTGAATATTTGAATGGTCATCAAATGATGGCTCCCATTGAACTCATTGTCATTCTCGATGGTACTTTCGAAGACTACAGAGCCCTACAAATGATACAGTAAGTACATTTTTTCTTGATGTTCCTCATCGATATCACATAGGAATGTTAATATCACAAGGAGAAAAGTGGTCACCTAATAATTATTTCCACTATTCTAATAGCTGTACCTCGAGCTGTACTCAGGAGAATATTCAGGTCTTACCATTACCTTGTAAGCCTGCAAAAAACTCAACATTATATCAAATAACGACACTTCAGTCAGATAATCCAATTTTATGTGCTGTTTCCTTGAGCCAGTTGGCTTTTTATATGCTTCCAGATTGTGTAAGTTACGGAAACACTTTATTAGATTTTGATTCAGGATCCAGATATCAGTTCTTTCATCGTATATTTCTTTCTGTCTGTGCGAAACAATATATGCAAGAACACCAACTTATTTCCGGTAACGACAGACCGATCAGAAATGTCTAAGAATTATGCAATATATTTGACTTAGCTTCAATTCGGCTCAAGGAATCAGAATTCAATAAATGTTTCGTTTCGTACATAGCCATAAGCTACCCCTATGCCACTGTTAGAATTCAATTATTCGAACTAATTTGGCTCATTGATATGTGGAAGAGTCGAGTCAACTACAACATACGCTGCAAACACATTTACCAGAATTTACCTTAGTAAATATCTTCAATCAACAGAAGTGCATGTATATCACTTTGCAAACAGAACACAACCGATTTAATCTGGAAACTGTGAGAGTAAGTATGAAAGATTCCATGTCCTTTCACGCAACATCTGGGTTTTCGACGAACACTAACTTCTAAATGATGATAATCTCAAATGTCTTTTTGCTGACTAAAAACACCTCATTATTTTTGCAAATGTTCAACGACCTGTGTCTCGGTAACGAAACATATTATGCATAATATGTTTTCAAGCACCATAATATCCTTACTCTTACTTTGATGACAAGATTACGTTGTTTCATGATGTTGTGGAGCAACATCCTCGAAACACCCTATATACGACACTAATTTAGAAGGCAGCACTGAATACATAAATGCATATATTTTTTCAGTTCCTTATCAGAGGCCATTCATGTGTCCTATCATGGAAGCAAGTTAGGAATTATAAATGGGGAATCTGGAAACTGGATGGTAAACGTTACCGGAGAGGTGTTCCAGATTTTTAAGGATTTGAACGACCCGAAAGATGGATGTAGGTGGATAATTATTCAATTTATTTCGAGCCCTAGTGGGCGAATCAAGTAGGAAGGTTTAATTTGAACGTGTTGGGAAGTGTGAAATTTATCGTGTGCTAGCTGCACCCAGGGGCTAATTTTATCTTCACACCTTTAATGAAATCAATTTCGCTACTACTGGTGTTTGAGGATTGTTGAAAATGTAAAGAAATTACTCCATCAGAATTTGCCAGGAACTGCATCTTAATGTGTTGTCAATTGTCAATATGTCCGGCCTTACTTTTCGGTCCTTTCGATAGATTATTCGTCAGCTGTCATCGCATTTCATACTATTTTTTTTCGATCAAATTTCAGAAGCAATGCTACCTGAAATACTGTTGCAATTCAATTCAATCCGGTGTTTTTGATGTGCCTACACTAACTATATACTTTACTACAAATTCAAGCAGTCTCGATTACATTTTGATAGGATTTCCTAGTGGGTACCCGATTTTGGTGTGTTGAACTTAATGTCAGTATAGTAATTTATTTCTTCCCACCATCATTAGATCTCCTATAGGTACTTACATTCAAACATACTATGTATAGTTTCCTTGATTCAAATGAATCCAGATGCCATGATTAAGTGATGTTCCAGGGCCAGTCATATTGTCTAGCAGAAGCCTCCAAACGGTGATCTCCCACCACCAAAATCAAACTTACACGAACTGTCGCCAAACGTTAGAATTAAGTGATGGTCCAGGACAATTCACACTGTCTTTGGGCATAAGCCTCCAAACAGTGATCTCCTACTACCAAAACCAAACCTACATGAACTGCTCCGAAACCAAACCGAAGCCGCCCAAGAAACAAGAGACGTAGGACGTAGGCAATCTGTAGGTCGCCAGTCCAGAATACTATAAGAAACTCCCAGAAACTAAATGCCATTACCAAGTTGTATTGTGATGACAGGCTAGCAGTGTTCAAGAATTTCGTAACTCTCCAGTCATCCTTGTGTTCATCTTCCTGGCAATGTTAATTCATCTTCCATTGTTTATCTCTCCTCTCAACTATTCCCTACCTGTCATTGCGTTTGATAACATAATTTTGTGTCTTTCGTTCTGATTTCAACAGCAATTTTTGCAATGCTTCAAACCAGTCTATAGTAACTTTTTCCTTCATGACATCATTAGATCTCCTACATAAGTAAATATGGACAGTTTCCATTATTCGAGGGTATCCAAATGCCTCAAAAAAACGTTGTTTCAGGGCCAGAAAAGCTGTCTTTAGGCAGAAGCCTTCAAACAGTGATCTCCTACTATCAAAACCAAACCTACACGAACTGCTCCGAAACCAAACCGAAACCGTACGCCCAAGCAGTGCTCGTGTTCAGCGAACAAGGCAGACTCTCTGACCTCGACCTCGAGACATCCAGGCAATCCATAGGCACGATCAAGGCAGCCAGCCCGGCAGCCAGAATCCTATACGTGACTCCCAGAGAGGAGAACTCTTTGAAGCGACTTCTTCAGAGCAACGACTTCTTGCTATCGAAGCTGTCCGACGATGTGGCTTCGATCGTTCACGAAGTGACTAGTAGGCTAAGTGACATTCCGGCCAATATCGTCAAGTTCTATTGCGATGGCGGACGAGCAGAGTTTGAGGATTACATAACTCCCGATGTGGAGAGTTTTTACGAAGTTCACAGAGGGTACATCGGTAGAGGAGCCGTTGGCACCAAGGTGAATAGTCTATGATATTGCGCTATTATTATACAGGACGTCTAGAGGAAAATGTGGGATGTGTGATTCAACTTGCAATTTATTCAGCTGGAAAAGTGAAAATTCCGAATGAAGTATCCAATTCAAAAATGTCAACAGTGCACACGAAGAAAGAAAGGTTTAGTGCACATAGAAAAATCAGATTGGGTTATGTGTCATTGTTGCTGTTTGGCATTGGTAGTTAAGAAATTCACCAATTGAATTGCTCTCGAAACTAAAAATATCAATTATGATCACGAAATTACGGGTTGTGATCTTAACAAGAAGAAACCATCAGTATTCTTAGCAAAATATTCTAGTTAGACCAAAGACAGAGACATATAGTGGTCATGAGTGAGCTATCATTATTATATTATGTAGGGTGTATTAAATATTAAGTTGTTAACTTTTTTGCTGGAACTACTGAATTTTTGTGCCCGTTGCAAGTTATTTTTTTCCGTGCATGTGAAACTTTCAGAAATGTTACTGAAAGTTTGGCGATTCACTGAAAATTACACATAAATTTCACAACTTTCTTCTCGCCTGTCCTATAAACCTTGCATTATTCAGATATTCTGCATGAATCGTTTCATCGTTCATATGTTTGGTAAAAATATAAAAAATTTTGAAGGTAAATTGTACATTCCAAAAGATCATAATTGATTTTTTATGCCTAGCTGCGATTTAAAAATAAATGGTCAAATCTAGAATTTATTCAACTACGAATGTTTCGGAAATGCCTGAATCAAATAAGAACAATCTAAGCATATTCATTTTGGAAACGAGAACAACGGATCTTTCGATGTTTTCGAAACTGTTCAGGGTGTTCTATTGAGAGAAAGATACCTTCCAATAAACCCAGAATATCATTACCACACTTTTCAGAGAATTTGAGGATTTAAGGATTGCAGTTGTATAGTGTGTGATGGGATTATTGAAAAAATAATGACATAGACATAACCTGTCTCAATCGGCGCACATATATATAGGTCTAATGTTGAGAATTTGATGGTCTTGCAGAATATCTGGTTATGAATTCAGTTGACAAAGTATCGAATTTCAGGGTGCTTTTCTTCTATTCCCGAACTTTGAGGTGATCAAAAACAACTATTTGAGATTTGTTTCAATATGCAGTTTATTTTCCAAGGATACAAAGTTATTGAGGAAATTTGAAATGAAATCTCCCCCTAAAACACCCTCTATCTCCTAAACCAGCAACATTCTTATCAGGCATGTTATAAGCTAATTCTTAATATTTTATTGTTTACTATCTATAGTTGTCTCATTCTCAATGAATCACCCGGTATAGCCGCGTTGTTTCTTTTTTCAGTTCGTGAATAGCAATTATGGCGACCTGATGATCTGTGCCTTCAGATCAAACTCCGTCGACGAGAGGATATGCAAAGGATTAACCGTTAACGAAGAGCTGAGCTTCGATTCGAAAGATTTCTGCACGCCAGAATCACCGTGCGACGTACGGTTCGCCGTCACAGCGAATTCCAGTCGGATCAGATGTGCAGGTAAGAATGCCCATGCAGACAATACAAGAACATCAATAAAACGAATAACGTAAGCTTTAGTAGAATTCAGATTTGCCGTTTTTAGGACTATTATAATTTTCTAGTACATTTCATACACATTTAGAAAGTCAATACAATTAACACTAATCTAGTACTAAAACAAGAGCCGGATAGCCCCATGGGATAGCCCAAGCTATTATTGCATACAAAACAATTATTTGGAGAAGATATGTTATAATTGGAATCATAATGAAGCCCTCATTGATAAAAAGTCCATAATTTCCAATTCAACGGAGAAACAAATTGATTTGACTTTGAAGTTAGAGTCATCTATTCTATCTTATTGATTGATAGTATGATAGTATTTGATCTCAATCTGTAATCTGATCTGTTCCTTTTCATCTCTTAATTTCGGCTTTTATTAGTTATAGAGGTGTTTCAATGTGCTGTATATTATTATTTTGAATTTTCATGAAAGAATATGAATTTATTCTCTTAATTTAGTACAATATACTTGAATCCAGTTCAATTTCGGAATGACTTCTAGCACAAATTGACATTCTGAAACGGCAACACTGGTAGAATTAGTGACTGTATCATCACCAACCAGGCATATGTGAATAGAATTACTAAGATATCCCTCCCCTTGAATGTCGAATGTCCGGAATCGTCTTTCGTCGACACACCATCAGGCGCAATCTGGTTGGTCTTGCAACGACTGAGGCTATCGGTCCTCATGGAGTTCCATCCATTATTCTTAAAAAGTTTTCACCAGAATTGACACCAATTATCTACAAGTTATTCACCATCTCGTACAAGTCGGGTTGCTGGAAAATAGCTAAAGTCAAACCAATCCCCCAAAAAGGGAGGAGAAACCTACCCAACAACTATAGGCCTATCGCTCTGTTATAACTTCTTCCCAAACTGTTAGATAATAACATCAACATTGAGCTTATCAAGCATGTGAGTTCGCCACTGAAGATCAACTAGAGACCTACTTGCCTACGTCACCCATAATATATAGCAATTTGAGACGTTAGACATATAGAAAGCACTCGACCGTGTTTGACACTAAGGACTTCTCCACAAACTACCATCATACGTCTTACCACCTCAGCTATGTCATCTCATCGAATTTTCTTTCAGGCAGATCACTCCACTTAGTGGAGGACAGTGTATCGTCTGATACCATTGCTATCAATTCCGGCATTCCACAAGGATCAATGTTGGCACCAACATTGTTCCTACTTCATATCATTGATCTGTCTACTTGCCCTATCAACAGTTTTGCAGATGATGGTACTCTCAATAATGCGTTCTTGTCCAGAATTCCCATTTCTTCCCAGAAAACTAGGAACTCACGACGAAGGCAGAGGCCAATGCTGTCAATAAAGATCTTGCTAAAATTACAGTCTGGGAAACCAACAACCTACTTGAATACAACGCCACCTAAAGTCAAGCCTGTAGTTTCTCTAGGAAGACGGAACTCTCTATACTCGGTATTTCCATCAGCAATACACTTCAGAAGTGCCTAAATCTTTCGAATCATTCCTATCACGTGATATGTTGGGATTCGTGTTTTTTGAAGATTATTTCTCGCAGTAAAATTGTGAGGGCTGAGTTTGGTCAAGGAGTTTTATTCTGGATAGCATGGCGTCCGCCCACTGTGATCATTTTTGATTTAGGCTTCCAAGGATGTTTTTCCTTCCTCTCGAGACCCCGAGGGTCTCGTTAATAATTCTCAAGTTTGTCTACGTGCGATTGCGCATGTGTCCATAATCACATGATTTACTGTGACCAATCTGACAATGAGGTTTGGGAATGGTTCGAAAACTTTGGGCTCTCGTTACTCGTTCATGGGAGTATCATGGCAAATTGGCAAATCCATCGCGAAAGCTGCCTCGCAAAAGCTCGTATTCTTATTCCGTGCGAAGAGCCTGAACCAGCTTCTCATGATCTACAATTAAAGCAAAGAGACGGACCCCCATTTTAGAATAAGGTTTCCTCATATATGGAGTTCAGCACCCAAACATCCGCTAGTGTTCTTAGATTCCAGAGACGAGTAATTCGCCTGGTGGGTGATGTCACATTAATTTTTCAACAACATTGGATGAATAACTCCATAGTTATTAATATATGTTGCAAATTTAACCACTTCACTAGTGAAACTATCATTGGTACTGACGTACTGATGAGTCAGAATATCCGAATCATCTAAAAATAAGTATTTCGCCTTCGCCTATTGATGCTAATGAATCAAACCTTTCCAAATCTTAACCTTTAATTAACATGGGAACCTTTTTTTCTACCTAGATGCGGTCTGGGCATTCAAAACAAGTTTCAAGGCAGGTCATAATATATCATACACGGACAATAAATTAGTTGAATGAAGTCTGGATCACGTTCGAAAAAAAAAATAAAGTGCACCTACATCACTTTTTGTGTCATGGGCCCAGGCTATTGTGGCTTTGGTTTCAAAGGAAAACAATTGACGTTTTAAATTTATCGGTGCTGTCAGCTGTGTCTCAAGAATGTTGATTGGTCAGATAGGTAGGTATCATTTTACGACCTTCAGGATTGGTCCACTGAAGTTCAACTGTGACTGAAGAGGAAACCCATTTAATAACACGTACAATACACGAAGTTCTGAATGGACGGAAATTTTTATTTGGCACCTACAACAAAAATACGAGCCCGTTTTCACTCCGAATGCTCCTTTCCATACTTCATGTAGCTGTTAGTCATGCTTTTTGACAAGTCTTCGAGTTGATTAGACATTTCAAATGAATTTGGAGTGAAGCAGAGACGCGGTATAAACAAACTTTCAGCAGCTCCTTCACTGTCAACCGTCAAACTATTCCCAGCAATAATTACGGATCGTTAGAAAATAAACTCTCAAAGGCACGTGGAAAGCAAAGGAAAATATTACGGAAAATATAGGCCATAGAATCATAGATGATGCATTCAAACATTTTCAAAGCAGATATTTTTTTCCTAGGTTCGCTTTGTTCCATGTATTTGATTTGTTGTCGATTACCTATATATACCCCATACCCGAGCCCAAAATGATGGAAAGTTTGTTTCATAAAGGAACAGTTTCAACAGTTTACATAAATATACAGTGTGTTCGACTCAGAAAGTGGTATTATTATTATAGATCGAGTTGTTATGTCATTGGCTATCATGATGAGCAAATAAAAGAGAGTCTATTCTCTCCAATTCCTAAATATAGCCAAAATATTTGAAAAAAAAAATCATTATTCTTCTTCCTTCAATCCATTCCAAGCATATTCTTCATTGAAATCAAAATTAGATCACCGCGTGTGTAGATATGGTAATTTTATCAAACATATTCTATAGCCCTCAATCAAAAGCGATTTCTGAATAATACTGTTCGATACATTTTCAGCCGAGTTTTCAGCTATGTTTCATGATGAAACTGAAAACTCAATCGGAATGAATGTCTGTTTCAATCAAGTAAGGCCGCTGTAATTTCAGCACAAACCACAAACCGGATAATAAAGACCCTGATTGAAATACTTGTTCATTTTGTATGTCTCTTGTATGATGACATGAAACATACGCTGACAAACAGAAATATGAATGCCTATCTGAAGGTTCAAGGTTCAACGATTGACTGTCAAAATTGGAATTATAAATCCCCGGATATAAAACGAATTGGTTTGAATCACAATTCACCTAGCAACTTACTTTCAATTATAATTGGTTCTACTATTGAATTTATTATTATTTATTGAAAACATGTGGCATCGACTACCTTAGCCATTATTGGTGCATGAATTGAGAGTTTCTGGTATTTCAAAATATCAGTTACCTATTTGTTCATTCGAGAAAGTAGATCTGACCATTTGTCATTCAAGTCTGGTCCTCTCCATCATAGGACTTTTACATGAAGATCATGTGACCTGCATTGATAAATAGTTTTTTATTATACAAGGGAAAAAGATTTTAGCTCGAGGTTGCGTTGCGAAGCGGAGGGAGACCAAAAACCGAGAGCTAAAATCTGATATGTTTCCAGGTTTCCAGTATATAATACACTTATTTTTTTCTGACAGAAAAAACGACGATTTAATTTTGAAAGAATAGATATTACAATATATCAAAATCAGACAATTATCGATGTGAAATTTCAACGTTTAAACTGATATAGGCGGTGGTTCTTAAAGCAGCTTATAGCGATAGTTAGACCTGCGTTGCTGGGATCTTTGTTGCTCATGGAACTTTGTAGCTGGCATCATCGTTGCTATGGAAATCTTTCGAAGTAATCAAATATTTGTCAATTTAATTCTGTTATATGATTTATAAGAATTTGTGAAATTAGTGGTTGTTCAGTAATTACGAAACCGCGTTATAGGCTTCTTTTCGGAACTAAAAAAATTGTTCTAAAATTGTCGTGTATCATTCATCAGTATTTAGTGGATATATCCGAGAAATACAGTACTCATTTTTCTTCCGTGGCAAAGGGAAAGTAGTAATTTGTAAACTGACATTTTGTAACCCGTCAACTAAGAACTTTTTTTTGTCCCAGAAAAAAAAGGTATTCATTGTTACAAATTGTGAATCAGGCCGATTTATCTATGCAATAAAAATAAATCATATCCATACAATAAGGTAGTAGTACTATTAAAAATTTATACCATGCCTGAACCGGGCTTTTATCACCGATTAAAGGACAAGTACAAGAGAAGAAAGTAGCCATAATGCGATCATAAAATTAAAATTGCATTGTCCATTCGCTGAAATAAAAGGTAAACATTGAAAGGTGAAAGAGCCGAAAGTATTATCTTGTGTGAATATTTTTCCGGATGAAAGAACGCTCAACACAACATTAAAGCGGCAGGAAGTACAAGGACGTACATGTAGAGACCCAATCTCAGGCATAATACCGATTTTTGGTCTGCCGAACACAAAAGAATACTCGCTGAAGTGTCACTGAAGACGTGAATAACAAACATAGATTTTTAAAAATTTTAAATATTTTTCTGGTTCTACAACTTTCTAGAAAAACTTTATGAACTGATGATCCCGTCGCCAGATTCTGGGGAATATAATATGCGAAAGAGAATCCATTTATATTCTATATTGTATACCCATGTCAAAATACCTTCACAAAATTCACATCAAGTTGTGAAAGTTAACAGCTCCGACAAGTGTATCTGAGCATACAAAACAAGTGCTGAAAATTTGAATATTTTGATCTACTTTTCACAACTATTTCACGGGGCCGCATTACATAACAACTTTATAAAATTGCCACGATTGCCAGTTGGATTCAGAACACACATTATATAGACTTAAAATGCGGTTCATGATGTTTCTAAAAAAACTCTAAAGTAGGACATGATCGTATTAAATTGACTAATAACTGTATGTTTCCATTTATTTTTCAGAATATGATTGCAGATATCCTGACCAAATAAGGATGGACATCAAGTACACGTACACAGCAAGGGGATCCGTATTTGTAGCAAATATTCTACTTACCATTTCAATTAGTTCAGTGCTGATTGTAAATTATTGATCTGAATATTTTATAAGTGCCCGCACATTGAAGCTGTTTTGGCTACTTCTCAAGAAAATCTTTTTTCAAGCTAAATTCATTATAACTTACCCTTTACCTTCAGATTTCCCTATTTCCCCTTGAAGTTCTGCTGCTTTTTCAAAGCCGGTCACAAAGCAGCGTCTGTATTCTGCATTATAAAACTGATCTACACTTGACACAGCATCGCGAGTGACTTTGGTGAATTTGGAAGCAACAACCAATGGTTCTTCCAATTCACCGACCACAATATTTAGGAAATTTTGAAGTCATTACTTTGGATAATACCTAAGCATTATTCGGTATATTTGCTTTGCACAATGCATGTATAGTAAGGATTTATACTCATTGTAGTTTTGCAAGAAAATGCTGAATACCAGATTAATTATGTAGTAATCAATACCTGCAAAATGGCAATCATAGTTGTTGCGGCTGTAAATTTGAAAAAAAAATGCTGTTAGTTTCATGTGCCGGTTTATCTAAAATTTACCCTGATGGTCAATATTAACTCGAAATTTTGAAGAAAAGCAATGAAATGAAGAAAAATAATTGAAAATTCCTCATAAATGTGTTATTACTAATAATATCAGGTTAGTTGAATTTTAATAAAAAAATAGTCAAATTCGATACAGCATCTACCGGGACCTGCACAAATCAATCATTAATAGCCATGAAATACTTCATTATGTGTTACGTATATGATAGGTATTAGAATAAATTCAACATATCTACATATAGGTACTGGACCTATAGGAACCTATACCTACCATTCTTATTTTGTTAAATGTACCTATACCGGTACAATAATTGCCTAAAATACCTTACTCCCAAATCTCAAGATTACAATAGACTACTCATATCACATTACAATAAAGAGACATAAGTAAGAACTCTGCGCACATACTCACCTAAACAAAAAAAGATCGATTCAAATGATTCAATGTAGAAAAATCTAGCTTATTTTACCTTGTCGGTGCTAAAGATATTCGATGATTTAGGCACAATCACCAGTGGCGTAGTAATAAAAAGGTATGAAGATCGAGTTTGAAACTATTGTTTTGAAGGAGGAAGGCTATTCTCTCGTGGTCAGTATCGGCAGTCGAATCCAATCATGACCTTTCTGTCCTCAAGAGTAATCAAGTAACTAATAATTTTGAAACATTTATATCATTCCTATAACCTATAAGTACTCTTGTCAAAATATGCTAATAATATGAATATAATTCGTGGACTTTATCAAATAAACAGATTGTTACGTTTCACGTTACCTCATAGAATTTTCTCACTGCCACAATATCAACTAATTCAAAATAGATTCGATACAAAAATGAGATTATCTGAATTTCAGAGTAAATTCCTCGTATTTCAATACATATCCAATCTCGTTTTTGCATCGATTGTAGGTTTCTGTTCGACAGTTGCGGGTTAATCATTGGTATTCGTTCCATAATCAAAAATATACCTACGAATACATATTGAGAGTATCTCATAAAAAGTTTGTAAGTTTTACCTAAACTGGCCATCGAAGGACCCCTGGTAGATAATGCCGCGGCATGGAAACTGGTTTTAACTCCGGTAACCTAGCTTTATGACGCCTAAAACACTCATACAGCTAGATAACCAAAGAAAATATCAGTTCCATTTGGCGAAAAGGACCAAAGGACGAGGGCGAAGCCCCATAGCAGCACACGAAACAACAACGAACCCGCATGAGCAATGAGCACATCCCGAACCACGTGATAATAACCCGCGCCGGCACTTGCAAGGTTGAGAAGAACATTTTTCAGATCTCGCACACGAAGGAAGAACTGATCGAGCGGCTGTATCTTTGGCAAGTGGGACGATTTTGCCTTTCTTCCCCATCCGAGTTCGGTTGCCGGCCACTACTCGAAGTTTGTCGTTAGGAAAACCAGTTTCAAAAGCCAAGCCTGTATGTCACTACGTTGCCAAACTTTCTACTCTCAAGGCAATATTTGGAAACGACGAGCGCGCCGATCAATTTGATCAGTTAATCGAAAACGTGAACTGAGATCGTTTCTTGACGACCGATGGGGCTGAACTAATCTCGACATTCTACCATTTCTACCTCTTTCTATTCATCCAACCCCTCTTTATTAACACCCATTTGTGACGTCACTGCACTACCTGCCCCTATACCTTGACCATCGAAAAATAGTTGTATCGATAATGCTGATACCACCTCTTGTGATGTTTCAAACCGCAAGAATCGCTTGAGAAATTGTCTGGCTGATGACACGCCAGATTACATGACGTTTTTGCGGTTAAATTCTCCTAATTCGCACATCTATATACAGAGTGATACTGAGTAACACCGTCAAATTTATAGTAAGCTGATTTCTCAAGATATTTATTGGAGACATGAATTTGAAATTTGTTTTCAAGAAGTTTGCACTTTTACCATAGGTACCTACCTCATCTTTTAACTATTTTCAAAATCCCAGTAAAATTGCAAAAATGATTGATATTTCCGATCCTTCTGATCCCGGCGAAAGCAAACGCAATCAGCCCCTTGACAATAATTTACAAAAGAATGGTGATGATTTTTTTGTTGTCAAAGGGCCTACTGCAACTTTACCAATAACAAACTCCAAAATAATGCTGATTTCCTAACCTACAAGGATGCAATTTACTTTTTAGCAGTGAATTACTGGATTGAGCTTACGCATATTCAGAACCTTTAGCAAGTTTCAAAAGATATTGGGTGAAAACAACGTAACACCCCTTTCTTGGGTCCTATACATATTTCAAGGAGCAGTATACATATATACAGGACGTGGAAAGAAATTCTGAATTGAGAAAACCTAATCAAGAATCTGCGATTGAAGGTCTATAAAAATCACAAGTTTCCATCATTCAAGTTTGAACCCCATGATTGGGTGAAAATATTGAAAAGGAATATTCTCAGATATATCATGAACATGAAAGAATGGATATATATGAAGAAATACATTTAGAATTCGCATTCTCTATTTGATGAAAATATCAATTCTGTCTTGGTCTACTCAACAGAAAACAACTACTTTCCTGGCTATATGCTATACGAAAAACATCGAATTATATCTATCGAACATAGGACGTGGCAAATAACCAGGAAAGTGGTTGTTATCTGTTGAATGAACCAAGAAAGAATCGATATTTTCATCAAATAGATAATGCGAATTCTCAATGTATTTCTCTTTATATACATCCATTCTTTCATGTTCATGATTTATCTGAGAATATTCCTTTTCAGCAGTTGATGAATTTAGTTGATTGAACCACGCCAATAAAGCTTCTGAAATCTGAGTCATCCTCCATTGAGAACAACAAACTGATCGTTCTCGGTATGAAATTTTGTATGGTGACCTCATAAAAGAAAGGATTTCTTCAAACAATATTTTTATAAAGCGTGAGACTACGATACTAGACATCGAATACTAAGTTTAACCTTCAACTCAATTATTATTGTTTGAATACTCATTCGCTATGTGGCATATTTAATACCCATACTTGGTGCGAATGAAAATAGTAATTGCATCATAAAAATAGCGAAATATTTCGATATCATTAGCTACCATCATAATTCCCCACATGTTCTGGTCATGAAAAAGTTAATATTTTATTTTATGTTCGATTTTGAATCCTATAAATCATGGTGAAACATGACAGCTAGATTGGTTTGCGCCAAATTTTCACAAAGACAGTCGCTCAGCAAATGGAATAAGAATCCTGTTCGCCTCTTTGAACCGAGTATACCGAATCTCATGCGTGGGACAGCGACACACAATCACGATCATTTACTCACAATAATTGAACGGACGATTTTAGAAGGAAGTATACAGTCGAAATTATTTGATACACACAGATTCTAGATATAATAGAGGCTTGCGTTTTGGAGACTCATGTTGTTTGTTCTTTCCCCAACATTGTGGTGAAATCTTAACTCAATATTCTGGGAAAAAATGAGAACTCTAGGATAACATGAAGTCATGGAGAGTACTGTCATCAAAGATGAAACATAATTATTGATATAAGAACAAAATCCATACTTGTGGAACGCCGGAATAGATGGCAATGGTATATCAGACGATACTCCGTCCACCACCTCATGGCTCATGGGACGATTTGCATGAAAGAAATCTCGATGAAAAAAGGCATAGCTGGGGTGGTAAGCCATAGGATGGTATAGTTCTTAGTGTCGAACACGATCGATTCTCTCGAAACATCTAGCGTCACAGCTAGAGATTCTCCATGTTTGTCTAATGGAGCTTGCCATATATGCTTAACGTATAGACAAGTTTTTTATGTTCTGGTTCTCACGAAAAGGGATATCCTGTAATAATCAGAGAACATCGTGAGAACCAAGGGAAATAAGGTAGGAATTGGTGCTCTTCTTAAATTTCTGGAGGTTATAGGCCTCGGGGAAACCCTCCCTTGGCAATGTGTTCCAGAGCCTCGCTGTTCGTTGGATGAACGAGTCTTTGGAAAGTAATGTTCAGCAGGTCTCCAAAGTGACCACGAAGGGGTGCGAAGCGTCAACTCGACGGGTTAATCTCGCGGGGACTGCCAAGGGAGGAACAATTGTTGATATTTCAGAAGAGCATCGTCCATGAAAATATCTTTAAAATAGAGCTAGATCGACAACTTTTCTACGGTGTTCCAGTGAAGTGAGTGAGTTTGTGAGCGAGGCATCACCCACGAGACGAATTGCCCTCTTTTGGACAGAATCCAACAGTTTCAGGGCATGTTTGGGTGCTGCACTCCAAATATGAGAACAGTTTCCAGGAAAGGTCGGATCTGTACCTTATAGATCATAAGCAGCTGACTGGAAGTGAAATAGCTCCTGACCCGAAACAGAAAACCAAGTTTTTGGGATACACTTTCAGCAATTATTATATTTGTAACCATATCAAATATGTACTTATTGGATATAATCTGAACATTTTCGTCTATCTAATTCCTAGCCTGACGCGTTGGTAAACGTTGATCACGAGTAGGTGACCTCTCTGGATCAAGTTAACAACCCAGTGTAATTTTCTTAAGACACCTAA